CATTGCATGGAACACGAGTGCATTGCATTGAACACGAGGGCATTGCATGGAACACGAGGGCATTGCATGGAACACGAGTGCATTGCATTGAACACGAGGGCATTGCATGGAACACGAGGGCATTGCATGGAACACAAGGGCATTGCATGGAACACGAGGGCATTGCATGGAACACGAGGGCATTGCATGGAACACGAGTGCATTGCATGGAACACGAGGGCATTGCATGGAACACGAGTGCATTGCATGGAACACGAGTGCATTGCATGGAACACGAGTGCATTGCATGGAACACGAGGGCATTGCATGGAACACGAGTGCATTGCATGGAACACGAGTGCATTGCATGGAACACGAGTGCATTGCATGGAACACGAGTGCATTGCATGGAACACGAGGGCATTGCATGGAACACGAGTGCATTGCATGGAACACGAGGGCATTGCATGGAACACGAGGGCATTGCATGGAACACGAGTGCATTGCATGGAACACGAGGGCATTGCATGGAACACGAGTGCATTGCATGGAACACGAGGGCATTGCATGGAACACGAGGGCATTGCATTGAACACGAGTGCATTGCATCGAACACGAGGGCATTGCATGGAACACGAAGGCATTGCATGGAACACGAAGGCATTGCATTGAACACGAGGGCATTGCATGGAACACGAGGGCATTGCATTGAACACGAGTGCATTGCATGGAACACGAGGGCATTGCATGGAACACGAGGGCATTGCATGGAACACGAGTGCATTGCATGGAACACGAGGGCATTGCATGGAACACGAGTGCATTGCATGGAACACGAGGGCATTGCATGGAACACGAGTGCATTGCATGGAACACGAGTGCATTGCATTGAACACGAGGGCATTGCATGGAACACGAGGGCATTGCATGGAACACGAGGGCATTGCATGGAACACGAGGGCATTGCATGGAACACGAGGGCATTGCATGGAACACGAGGGCGTTGCATGGAACACGAGGGCATTGCATGGAACACGAGTGCATTGCATCGAACAGGAGTGCATTGCATGGAACACGAGGGCGTTGCATGGAACACGAGTGCATTGCATGGAACACGAGTGCATTGCATCGAACAGGAGTGCGTTGCATGGAACACGAGGGCATTGCATGGAACACGAGGGCATTGCATTGAACACGAGTGCATTGCATGGAACACGAGTGCATTGCATGGAACACGAGTGCATTGCATTGAACACGAGTGCATTGCATGGAACACGAGTGCATTGCATGGAACACGAGTGCATTGCATTGAACACGAGGGCATTGCATGGAACACGAGGGCATTGCATGGAACACGAGGGCATTGCATTGAACACGAGGGCATTGCATGGAACACGAGGGCATTGCATGGAACACGAGGGCATTGCATGGAACACGAGGGCATTGCATGGAACACGAGGGCATTGCATGGAACACGAGTGCATTGCATGGAACACGAGGGCATTGCATGGAACACGAGTGCATTGCATGGAACACGAGGGCATTGCATGGAACACGAGTGCATTGCATGGAACACGAGTGCATTGCATGGAACACGAGGGCATTGCATGGAACACGAGAGCATTGCATGGAACACGAGTGCATTGCATGGAACACGAGGGCATTGCATGGAACACGAGGGCATTGCATGGAACACGAGTGCATTGCATGGAACACGAGTGCATTGCATGGAACACGAGGGCATTGCATGGAACACGAGTGCATTGCATGGAACACGAGGGCATTGCATGGAACACGAGGGCATTGCATGGAACACGAGGGCATTGCATGGAACACGAGGGCATTGCATGGAACACGAGGGCATTGCATGGAACACGAGGGCATTGCATGGAACACGAGTGCATTGCATGGAACACGAGGGCATTGCATGGAACACGAGGGCATTGCATGGAACACGAGGGCATTGCATCGAACACGAAGGCATTGCATGGAATACGAAGGCATTGCATGGAACACGAGGGCATTGCATGGAACACGAGGGCATTGCATGGAACACGAGGGCATTGCATGGAACACGAGGGCATTGCATGGAACACGAGGGCATTGCATGGAACACGAGGGCATTGCATGGAACACGAGGGCATTGCATGGAACACGAGGGCATTGCATGGAACACGAGGGCATTGCATGGAACACGAGTGCATTGCATTGAACACGAGTGCATTGCATGGAACACGAGTGCATTGCATGGAACACGAGTGCATTGCATTGAACACGAGGGCATTGCATTGAACACGAGGGCATTGCATGGAACACGAGGGCATTGCATGGAACACGAGGGCATTGCATTGAACACGAGGGCATTGCATGGAACACGAGGGCATTGCATGGAACACGAGTGCATTGCATGGAACAAGAGGGCATTGCATGGAACACGTGTGCATTGCATGGAACAGGAGGGCATTGCATGGAACACGAGGGCATTGCATTGAACACGAGTGCATTGCATGGAACACGAGTGCATTGCATTGAACAGGAGTGCATTGCATGGAACACGAGTGCATTGCATGGAACACGAGTGCATTGCATGGAACACGAGTGCATTGTATTGAACACGAGTGCATTGCATGGAACACGAGTGCATTGCATGGAACACGAGGGCATTGCATGGAACACGAGTGCATTGCATGGAACACGAGGGCATTGCATGGAACAGGAGGGCATTGCATGGAACACGAGTGCATTGCATGGAACACGAGTGCATTGCATGGAACACGAGGGCATTGCATGGAACACGAGTGCATTGCATTGAACACGAGTGCATTGCATTGAACACGAGTGCATTGCATGGAACACGAGGGCATTGCATGGAACATGAGGGCATTGCATTGAACACGAGTGCATTGCATGGAACACGAGGGCATTGCATGGAACACGAGGGCATTGCATGGAACACGAGTGCATTGCATCGAACACGAGGGCATTGCATGGAACACGAGGGCATTGAACACGAGTGCATTGCATTGAACACGAGTGCATTGCATGGAACACGAGTGCATTGCATTGAACACGAGTGCATTGCATTGAACACGAGGGCATTGCATTGAACACGAGTGCATTGCATCGAACACGAGTGCATTGCATGGAACACGAGGGCATTGCATGGAACACGAGGGCATTGCATGGAACACGAGGGTATTGCATGGAACACGAGTGCATTGCATTGAACACGAGGGTATTGCATGGAACACGAGTGCATTGCATTGAACACGAGGGTATTGCATGGAACACGAGTGCATTGCATTGAACACGAGTGCATTGCATTGAACACAAGTGCATTGCATTGAACACGAGTGCATTGCACGGAACACGAGTGCATTGCATGGAACACGAGTGCATTGCATGGAACACGAGGGCATTGTATGGAACACGAGTGCATTGCATGGAACACGAGGGCATTGCATGGAACACGAGGGCATTGCATGGAACACGAGGGCATTGCATGGAACACGAGGGTATTGCATGGAACACGAGTGCATTGCATTGAACATGAGTGCATTGCATGGAACACGAGTGCATTGCATGGAACACGAGTGCATTGCATGGAACACGAGGGCATTGCATGGAACACGAGGGCATTGCATGGAACACGAGTGCATTGCATGGAACACGCGTGCATTGCATTGAACACGAGTGCATTGCATTGAACACGAGGGCATTGCATGGAACACGAGTGCATTGCATGGAACACGAGTGCATTGCATTGAACACGAGTGCATTGCGTTGAACACGAGGGCATTGCATTTAACACGAGTGCATTGCATCGAACACGAGGGCATTGCATGCTGCGCTGCGCTCATGCCTGTGTGTGTCCATTCTGGCGAGGGTGACCTGCCTCTCCCTCCTTGTCTGACCTTTTCCAAATTCTTTGGCTGCAGCCCGGCACCTCAACACGTATTCTCTCGTCGTGCTGCCGTCATTGTTTTCCCCTCTCGTGGTTCTGCCATCTCTGCCTCCGTACCGATTCTGCCTGTACTACCCTCCGTGGCTGTGCTGCCCGGCCACAGTTCAATCAGATCAACGGGTTGGAGCTGGTGTGTAGAGCGCACCAGCTGGTGCAGGAGGGGCTGAAGTACATGTTCCCCGACAGAAGCCTCGTCACCGTATGCATACTCCTCTCACCTTGCCCTTCACTCTGCCGCGTGTGATTCCGTGATGCCGCCTCTCAAGGAGAGCCCCTGCAGCCATGCCATTTCTGCCTTGAAAATGTTTTGGTCCTCGTACTCTCGGCTTGGCTTATGTCACTCACTCGGGTGTGTTTCCGTGTGCCTGCCTGTGTATGTCTCATGTGTTGCATGGGAATGTGTGCCATGCGCGTGCATCCATGCGTGCATGGGCCATCAGGTGTGGTCGGCGCCCAACTACTGCTATCGCTGTGGCAACGTGGCGTCCATCCTCAGCTTCGATGAGCACATGGTCAGTGCGTGGGTCAGTGCGTGCGCCAGTGCATGGCGTGTGGTTAGTGGGGCACATGGTGAGGGGGTCATATCAAAATGGCTCTGCTCCCTCCTGCCCGCCGCTGAGTGGTCCACGTGTGTCACCAAAGCACTGTCTCCACTGCTCATGGGAGGGAGCTCTTGGATCTCTCCACCTCGTGCCCATGCATCCTTAGAGCCTAGCCTCTCTTTCCATGTCCCTCATGCCTTTTACCACCTCCCCTTTGCCCGTTCCCTCTCCACATTCCCCCTCCACCTTGGTCCGCGCCTCCCATGGCTGGTGATCCCCTGTCCCCCTGTGTGTCCGCGGCATGCTCCATGACGCCCACGGCACGGCACGGGCCACCAGGAGCGAGATGTGAAGTTCTTCACGGAGACGGAGGAGAACAACACCATGATGGCGCCGCGCGCTGCTGTGCCCTACTTCCTCTGACCCATGCACTGCTCTCCCCCTCAGTCAGTAGCCCCGTCTCCCCCTCAGTCAGTAGCCCCGTCTCCACCTCAGTCAGTAGCCCCGTCTCCACCTCAGTCAGCCGTCTCCACCTTAGTCAGTAGCCCCGTCTCCCCCTCAGTCAATAGCCCCGTCTCCACCTCAGTCAGTAGCCCCGTCTCCCCCTCAGTCAGTAGCCCCGTCTCCACCTCAGTCAGTAGCCCCGTCTCCCCCTCAGTCAGTAGCCCCGTCTCCATCTCAGTCAGTAGCCCCGTCTCCACCTCAGTCAGTAGCCCCGTCTCCACCTCAGTCAGTAGCCCCGTCTCCACCTCAGTCAGTAGCCCCGTCTCCCCCTCAGTCAGTAGCCCCGTCTCCACCTCAGTCAGTAGCCCCGTCTCCCCCTCAGTCAGTAGCCCCGTCTCCCCCTCAGTCAGTAGCCCCGTCTCCCCCTCAGTCAGTAGCCCCGTCTCCACCTCAGTCAGTAGCCCCGTCTCCACCTCAGTCAGTAGCCCCGTCTCCCCCTCAGTCAGTAGCCCCGTCTCCACCTCAGTCAGTAGCCCCGTCTCCCCCTCAGTCAGTAGCCCCGTCTCCACCTCAGTCAGTAGCCCCGTCTCCACCTCAGTCAGTAGCCCCGTCTCCACCTCAGTCAGTAGCCCCGTCTCCACCTCAGTCAGTAGCCCTGTCTCCCCCTCAGTCAGTAGCCCCGTCTCCACCTCAGTCAGTAGCCCCGTCTCCCCCTCAGTCAGTAGCCCCGTCTCCCCCTCAGTCAGTAGCCCCGTCTCCACCTCAGTCAGTAGCCCCGTCTCCACCTCAGTCAGTAGCCCCGTCTCCCCCTGAGTCAGTAGCCCCGTCTCCCCCTCAGTCAGTAGCCCCGTCTCCCCCTCAGTCAGTAGCCCCGTCTCCACCTCAGTCAGTAGCCCCGTCTCCCCCTCAGTCAGTAGCCCCGTCTCCCCCTCAGTCAGTAGCCCCGTCTCCCCCTCAGTCAGTAGCCCCGTCTCCCCCTCAGTCAGTAGCCCCGTCTCCCCCTCAGTCAGTAGCCCCGTCTCCCCCTCAGTCAGTAGCCCCGTCTCCCCCTCAGTCAGTAGCCCCGTCTCCACCTCAGACAGTAGCCCCGTCTCCCCCTCAGTCAGTAGCCCCGTCTCCACCTCAGTCAGTAGCCCCGTCTCCCCCTCAGTCAGTAGCCCCGTCTCCCCCTCAGTCAGTAGCCCCGTCTCCCCCTCAGTCAGTAGCCCCGTCTCCACCTCAGTCAGTAGCCCCATCTCCCCCTCAGTCAGTAGCCCCGTCTCCCCCTCAGTCAGTAGCCCCGTCTCCCCCTCAGTCAGTAGCCCCGTCTCCCCCTCAGTCAGTAGCCCCGTCTCCCCCTCAGTCAGTAGCCCCGTCTCCACCTCAGTCAGTAGCCCCGTCTCCCCCTCAGTCAGTAGCCCCGTCTCCCCCTCAGTCAGTAGCCCCGTCTCCCCCTCAGTCAGTAGCCCCGTCTCCACCTCAGTCAGTAGCCCCGTCTCCACCTCAGTCAGTAGCCCCGTCTCCCCCTCAGTCAGTAGCCCCGTCTCCCCCTCAGTCAGTAGTCCCATCTCCCCCTCAGTCAGTAGTCCCATCTCCCGATCCAATCACTCCTATTTAGCCAGCCCCTCTTCCCCATCTACGGATGCGCACAGCATGACCAGATGCCCACCACCACCAACCAACTCCACATTGGCCTCATGCACTACTGTTGCTCACATCATCCCGCCCCTTGTCCTTGCTACCCAACATGCATGACTCGGCATGTTTGCCTGCCCCTTGGCGTCATGATGACCTGATTAAACCCATCCCCGCTTGTCTCTTACTGTGTTGCTCCGTGTGTGCACAGCTTGCTCTCTGCTGGCAGTGGTCTTAGCTTTAACGGATTGTATGTTTCAACGCACCCTGTATTGGTGCAGTAGTGGTTAGTTAAATACCGGTAGGTTCTTTTGCTGCCCTCTTGCTGGTTCTTGTTGTTTAGTAGGCGTCATTTTCTTGACAAGCTGCCACAAATGGTGCAGTGGTAAAAGCAGCTCTCTGCAAACCGGTACTAGCTGAAGAGGGTGGCATTTCGAAACAGCACCAATGATATTTGCCTGAAGGAAAAGATTGTGTGATAATGTGTCAGGTATTCTAACAAGTGTTGCTTCACAGGAGAGAGCCCTCCACCCAACCCATTGGCTGGTGGAAGGTGGTCCACGAACGACCACCACCAAGAATTATTCCCCGAAACATAAAATTTCTGCTTGGCGTAGAATTACGCAGAACACCCAACTGGAAGGCCATCATCAACAGAATTGAGTCTGCTAACAACAGCTCTGATGCCAACTTGCTCACGAATCCATGCCTCATGTTACATGCCCAAGCCCAACGCTAAGCCGCATTCTGCACATGCTGTTGTAGCAGTACTGATTTTGATTCCTCCTCTCTAGCTTGGACGAACCACTCCCTGTACCGTTGAAACACACCCAACCTGATGGCGTGCCGAATAACTTGAAAGAAGTGAAGCATGTGATGGTGGTTGTGGCTGAAGGGAGTTGCGTTGGGGTAAGAGGAAGCAACAGAACAAGGGCGCAGGTGGCAGAGCGCAGAGCAGAGCAGCAGCATGCAGTGAATAGAGTGTACCGTGAGGACAAAAATGACCAGCCTGTGGATGATGCGTGCATGGGGTCAGCCCTGCAGAACCACTGCAGCCAGGCATGAGAGCAAGGCGCAGTGGCAGCAGGGCGAACTTGTTGAGTGTGCGTGGCGCAATCAACAGCAGGAGAGCACAAGTTGGTAGGAACAGGGACAGCCAGTGGGCCATTGAGCGGGGAAGTGGTGACACACTGGTACATTCATGAGCACTCCAGGCAGCGCTACTTCACTCCCGTGTGCCACACCCCCCCTGCCACACCCCCCCCTGGCACACCCCCCCCTGGCACACCCCCCCCTGGCACACCCCCCCCTGGCACACCCCCCCCTAGCACACCCAACGCGACTCACCCAACGCCGCTCACCCCACGCGGCTCACCCCTCGCGGCTCACCCCTCGCAGCTCACCCCTCGCGGCTCACCCCTCGCGGCTCACCCCTCGCTTTGCGACAATGCAGCAAAGAGAACCACCAGCATCAGCAGCACAGCCACTCACATGTCCAGCAGCACAGCCACTCACATGTCCAGCAGCACAGCCACTCACATGTCCAGCAGCACAGCCACTCACGTGTCCAGCAGCACAGCCACTCACATGTCCAGCAGCACAGCCACTCACATGTCCAGCAGCACAGCCACTCACATGTCCAGCAGCACAGCCACTCACATGTCCAGCAGCACAGCCACTCACATGTCCAGCAGCACAGCCACTCACATGTCCAGCAGCACGAGGGCGAGCATCTCATGGGCGTCCAGCAGGTGGTGCAGGTAGGCGCGCGTGTGGCGGGTGCACGTGTAGCACGCGCATGTGCGCGATATGGGGATGAAACTGCGCCTGGTAGCGCCCACAGACGGGGTGCGCGGATGGAGGGCAGACACGTAGTGAAGAAGTGAGAGGGAGCGGGTGGGAGAAGCCGACAAGTGAGGGCGGGAAGAATAAAGGAAGACTGCGCGTAAGTCATAGCGTGAGGGCGCAAGGCAGGTTTAGCATGGTGGAGCAAGCACAGCATGGTCCTGGCACAGCATGGTCCTGGCACAGCATGGTCCTGGCATAGCTACCCAGGCGGGACAGTAGTGTGATAATGGCACTCACTTGTGCGATGAGCACCGCAGGTTCATCTTCGACCCGTACACCTCCTCCCCTTCCTTCTCTTTCCCCACTTCACTTAAAACCCCATCCGCCTCCACTGCCCCCCCATCCCTCTCCTCTTTCGTCCCCCCCTGCCCTTCCCCCTCTCCCGGCGCCACGGTGTGCGGCCACCAGGGCGGGTGGAGGGGCAGCGTGGAGGCGAGGCCGAGGAGGGTGAGGTCGTGGGGGTACCTGCACGCGGGGGACACGGGTGAGGTTTGTCAGATGCCATGGCGCGGATAGTGCATGGCACAGGGCGGGCACGGCATGGCACATGCAGAAACGGACATGCATGGAAGGTTTGAAGAGGGTGCATGCAAGGGGGGGGTGCATGCATGCGGGAGGGGTGGCACTGACGTGCAGTCAAAGAGGTCAACGCCCCTGGCCACCGCGTGCAGCACCTCCTCTGCTCGCCGCCAAGCCATGGGGGGAAGGGGAGGGGCGACACACGGTGGAGAGGGGCGACACACGGTGGAGAGGGGCAGGTGGAGTGCAGGAGGTGAGTATCCCGTGTGGGGCAAGGCAAGGCGTACATGGCATGGCAGGCATGGACGAGGTGCAGAGCACAGCAGAGGAGCAGAGGAATTCACGTGGAGCATTCGAAATGGAGCACCATTTATCCTTCCCCCCTTCTCCCTTGCACTCTTGACTCTACCTCGCGTGCCCACCTTACCTTAGTGGTTGAATGTACCTGGTGTGTTGAATGTACCTGGTGTGTTGAACGTACCTGGTGTGTTGAATGTACCTGGTGTGTTGAATGTACCTGGTGTGTTGAATGTACCTGGTGTGTTGAATGTACCTGGTGTGTTGAATGTACCTGGTGTGTTGTGCCACAAGCGCCGCCCTGCTCAAGAGCAACGGGCTCACAGCACATCACACACCCACGTATTGTGTAGATCTTGGATCAGAGTAAAAATGAGATAGGGCCTGTCTGTAGGTTGTAGTGTAGCTGAGTACTGTTGTTTGACTGCTCAATCAAGAAATGCCATTTGTACAAGGATTAGAGCTTCAATGATCAAGAAATGGCATCTCTCTCTCTCAAGCGATCCTAGAGCTTCATGTGAGCTCAATATGGTACGATACCTTGGTTTTTATTCAGGCTAAATACCTCCCTCGGAAAGGGCGGATTGGGAGACTGCAGGGCAGAGCATTGAGCCAGCAGGAAGCTAGACGAGCGCCGTATTCACTTAATCAGCACACATGCGCACGTGGATGGTAGTGCTCGCGGTGAGGGGTGGCCCTGCAGCTCAACTGGAGTGGTGCATGCACTCGTCTGTACGTGCCATAGTCGTCTCAATACTCGCCTACATGGGGAGCCCGAACATTCGCTGCTCTACTGTCCCTCCTCTCACCACACGCCGTATTAGCTGTGAGTACACATGTGGCGATTGGCTGTAAGAGCAGCTGTGGTGACAGTCATTATCTGTACATGCCCGAACCACTGGGGGCCAAGCCCTGTTCAGGCAAGGCTGCTAAGGGTGGTTTGGCTTCAAGGCCAGTAACGGCAGCGGAAGCAAGAGTTTCAAACAGGCTGCAGAATTTCCTGCGGTGACTGCGCTGGTTGCTGCACACACGGCAAGGAGGGTAGGGAGAGGGCACGGAGAAGGCAGCGAAAGGGCAGGGAGTGGGGAGGGAAAGGGCAGGGAGATGGCAGGGGGAAAGTGCAGGGAGATGGCAGGGGGACGGCACAGCGAGGGCAGGGACGGGGCATTGTGGGCAGAGACGGGGCATTGAGGGCCAAAGACAAGTTAAAGTGAGTACAGGCATGTGTGTCTGCGCGTGTGCAAAATAAATGGATGAAAGGAAGCAAGGGAGGAGGGAGGGAAGAGTGTGAAGAGCACGGCGAGCAGCTCATCAGACCATCCCCCTCTCCTTCCTTCCGTCTCGTCACACGCCCTGTCTTCACCTCACATCCCCGTTTCGTGCCCTCTCCTTGCCTCACATCCCCTTTCCAATCTCCTCCCCTGCAGCCAAATCATGCTTCTGGCAGCCTGCTGGGCGCACTACTTTCTTGAACCCTCTTGACCCCTCTTGGCCACTCCTGAACTCGCTTGAGCCGAAACGCTCTTGCCTCCGTGCCGTCATGGCCTCATCTCATCCCATCTACAGCCTTTAGACCATGCCACCCATATCACCGCATATAGCCCCATACACCCAATATCAACTCATATCACCCCATATCACCCCATCTCACTCCATGTCACTCCATATCACCCCAGATAACCCCATATCACATCATGTCACCCCACATCACCCCTTATCACCCCATGTCACCCCATATCACATTACGTCACCCCATATCACCCCATCCCACCCATTCCCACCCATGCACCTCAGTGTCCTCCGCGCCTGCGACCACGGGGTGCCCCCCATAGCTGCTGTCCAGGCTGTTGGGCGCACTGCTGCTGCCGTCCTGCCCACTCGCACAGGGGAGAGGGAGTAAGGGGAGAGGAGCGGATAATGAGTGGGGGAGACGGGAGAGCGTGAGAAAGGAGGGAGGGTGTGAGAGGAGAAGGGAGAGTGGGAGAGGAGAAGGGAGTGAGTGGGAGAGGAGAAGGGAGTGAGAGGGAGAGGAGAAGGGAGTGGGTGGCAGGGGAGAAGGTCGTGAGTGGGAGTGGGTAGTGGTGGCCAGAGATCTTTATTCAACCAGTGTGCCCTATCGTTGTACCCAATACTTATATCAATGAAGGACCACTGAAGGGAGAGGGGAGGCGCGGCGCACCTCAGAGAGGTAGTTGAGGAGGTGGGCGCACTTCAGAGAGGTAGTTGAGCAGGTGGGCGCACCTCAGAGAGGTAGTTGAGCAGACGGGCGCACCTCAGAGAGGTAGTTGAGCAGGTGAGCGCACCTCAGAGAGGTAGTTGAGCAGGTGGGCGCACCTCAGAGAGGTAGTTGAGCAGGTGGGCGCACCTCAGAGAGGTAGTTGAGCAGGTGGGCGCACCTCAGAGAGGTAGTTGAGGAGGGTGTCGGACTGGAAGAGCGCACCTCAGAGAGGTAGTTGAGGAGGGTGTCGGACTGGAAGAGCGCACCTCAGAGAGGTAGTTGAGGAGGGTGTCGGACTGGAAGAGCGCACCTCAGAGAGGTAGTTGAGGAGGGTGTCGGACTGGAAGAGCGCACCTCAGAGAGGTAGTTGAGGAGGGTGTCGGACTGGAAGAGCGCACCTCAGAGAGGTAGTTGAGGAGGGTGTCGGACTGGAAGAGCGTGGCGAAGGCGGACGGGTGGAAGATGGCGCTGCCCACGAACTCATCACCCACCGCCCGCTCCCGCCCCGCCGTGGGGCTCAGGTCCGGCGTTGCCGAGCCTGCAGGGCGGTACGGGCCGAGGCTGTCGTAGGCAGGGAGGTAGGCGTGCACCTCTGAGCTGGGCACGGGTGTGGCCTCCCTGCTGTCCGCCAGGCCCAGGCGCAGCATCTGCATGCGGGGGATGGGCAGGAGCGGGTCTCGCTGGCTTTTGAGAATCCTAGACAACCTCTGACTTGGGCACGGCCTTGCCATGCCCATGGCCATGGCCTCGATGCCATCCGCTAGGCCCAGGCGAGAGTTGGTGGATGTGAAGGAGGGGAGAGGCAGGGACGGGGCCAGTTGGCTCTGGGAAATCCTTAAGAACACACGACAGTGCCATGCGATGCCCTCCCTGGCGTGTGCCAGGCCCAAGCGCAGCAGCTGCAAGGGGCGTGAAGACAAGGTTGGGGTGGGTGCAGCGAGTGAGGGAGTGAGGGAGAAAGGGCGTTGCACTAGAGGCTCGAATCTCCTGTGTGCGCAGATAAGCACATAGATGACAAGCCGGAATGGAGTGATGAATGCGGGAAGCTAGTGGGTGAATGGAGAGGGCGCAGTGAAGGTTGGGATGTGACATCCAGTGAGGTGAAGGTTGGGATGTGACATCCAGTGAGGTGAAGGTTGGGATGTGACATCCAGTGAGGTGAAGGTTGGGATGTGACATCCAGTGAGGTGAAGGCTGGGATGTGACATCCAGTGAGGTGAAGGTTGGGATGTGACATCCAGTGAGGTGAAGGTTGGGATGTGACATCCAGTGAGGTGAAGGTTGGGATGTGACATCCAGTGAGGTGAAGGTTGGGATGTGACATCCAGTGAGGTGAAGGTTGGGATGTGACATCCAGTGAGGTGAAGGTTGGGATGTGACATCCAGTGAGGTGAAGGCTGGGATGTGACATCCAGTGAGGTGAAGGTTGCGATGTGACATCCAGTGAGGTGAAGGTTGCGATGTGACATCCAGTGAGGTGAAGGTTGCGATGTGACATCCAGTGAGGTGAAGGTTGCGATGTGACATCCAGTGAGGTGAAGGTTGGGATGTGACATCCAGTGAGGTGAAGGTTGGGATGTGACATCCAGTGAGGTGAAATGATCTCTATAGGCAACGTGGGACAGCATTTCACAAAAAACCATATTTAAACGGGTAAATGCTGCGGGTATCTGACGAGGAAGTAATGAGAAAGGCACCTGAAGCAAGAGGAGAGGAATAACTACCTGAAGACGATGGACTAAGCACCTGAAGACGATGGACTAAGCACCTGAACCACAGAGAATTGGTAAAGCGAAACCACAAACCCAAACCAAGGAATCTCATAACCTACAAGAGAATTGACCTGAAGGGAATGTGGGAATGAAGTGAAGGCAAGACGACAATGACCTGAAGCCAGAGCAGGGCGGAGAGGAGGCGCAGCGTGAAGGTGAGGGAGTGGCACATGAGCTCCAGCAGCACTGCCAGCGCCACCAGCGGGTGCTGCCTCCACGGCGCCGTCAGCTCCTCGCTCCTGGTGCCGTGCCGTGCCACGCCGTGCCGTGCCGTGGGGTGGGGTGGGGTGGGTGGGGTGAGGCACGGTGGGGTGGGTGTAAGAACTGAGCATTAGGGTGGGTGGGTGGTAGAATTGATGCATTAGGTAATGAGCTCAAGGTTCTTCAGTACAATGGACATGAGCAAGGATGGATGGGGTGGGAATTGGGGCCAATCCCAATGAGATCGGCTGAAATCCCAATGAGATCGGCTGAAATCCCAATGAGATCGGCTGAAATCCCAATGAGATCGGCTGAAATCCCAATGAGATCGGCTGAAATCCCAATGAGATCGGCTGAAATCCCAATGAGATCGGCTGAAATCCCAATGAGATCGGCTGAAATTTCCAATTGGTGGGTTGAAGATTTCAGTTCATCACATTCGGGTGAGGTTGGGATGTGGGTGTACATCCAACTACAAACTACACTAAACTAGGACATTAAAAGTTCAACTACAAAAGTTAAGATTGAGGGCTAACTCTAGCAGTGGGCTGGGGTGGGGTGCGGTGGAGTTGGTTAGGGTGGGATTTGGCAAAGGAAAAGTAGGAGGAGGCGAGTGAGAGAGGGCATGTCCAGCATGATGAGGCGAGTGAGAGAGGGCATGTCCAGCATGAGGCGAGAGAGAGAGGGCATGTCCAGCATGATGAGGCGAGTGAGAGAGGGCATGTCCAGCATGATGAGGCGAGTGAGAGAGGGCATGTCCAGCATGATGAGGCGAGTGAGAGAGGGCATGTCCAGCATGATGAGGCGAGAGAGAGAGGGCATGTCCAGCATGATGAGGCGAGTGAGAGAGGGCATGTCCAGCATGATGAGGCGGGCATGCAGGGTGTGGCGGAGGGGGAGAGAGCGTGGTGGCAGGTGAAGCAAGGAGTAAGGTGCAGAGTGAGTTGAACATGCATGTGAGGCGGTGCAGGTGTTGTGAACGCTGCGGGTCGTGCCAGTGGCAGCGGGTACAGAAACGAGGGCTGGCAGAGAGATGGAACTGGGAGAGAGGACGAGGAGATGTGCGGGTAGGGAGGAGCAGCTGGGCGTAGGGAGGTGGGGCGAGTGAGCAGGAGAGGGCACCAGATGTGGGGGGCGAAGAGGGCACCAGATGTGGGGGGCGAAGAGGGCACCAGATGTGGGGGGCGAAGAGGGCACCAGATGTGGGGGGCGAAGAGGGCACCAGATGTGGGGGGCGAAGAGGGCACCAGATGTGGGGGGCGAAGAGGGCACCAGATGTGGGGGGCGAAGAGGGCACCAGATGTGGGGGGCGAAGAGGGCACCAGATGTGGGGGGCGAAGAGTGCACCAGATGTGGGGGGCGAAGAGGGCACCAGATGTGGGGGGCGAAGAGGGCACCAGATGTGGGGGGCGAAGAGTGCACCAGATGTGGGGGGCGAAGAGTGCACCAGATGTGGGGGGCGAAGAGTGCACCAGATGTGGGGGGCGAAGAGGGCACCAGATGTGGGGGGCGAAGAGTGCACCAGATGTGGGGGGCGAAGAGGGCACCAGATGTGGGGGGCGAAGAGGGCACCAGATGTGGGGGGCGAAGAGTGCACCAGATGTGGGGGGCGAAGAGGGCACCAGATGTGGGGGGCGAAGAGGGCACCAGATGTGGGGGGCGAAGAGGGCACCAGATGTGGGGGGCGAAGAGGGCACCAGATGTGGGGGGCGAAGAGGGCACCAGATGTGGGGGGCGAAGAGGGCACCAGATGTGGGGGGCGAAGAGGGCACCAGATGTGGGGGGCGAAGAGGGCACCAGATGTGGGGGGCGAAGAGGGCACCAGATGTGGGGGGCGAAGAGGGCACCAGATGTGGGGGGCGAAGAGGGCACCAGATGTGGGGGGCGAAGAGGGCACCAGATGTGGGGGGCGAGGAGGGCACCAGATGTGGGGGGCGAAGAGGGCACCAGATGTGGGGGGCGAAGAGGGCACCAGATGTGGGGGGCGAAGAGGGCACCAGATGTGGGGGGCGAAGAGGGCACCAGATGTGGGGGGCGAGGAGGGCACCAGATGTGGGGGGCGAAGAGGGCACCAGATGTGGGGGGCGAAGAGGGCACCAGATGTGGGGGGCGAAGAGGGCACCAGATGTGGGGGGCGAGGAGGGCACCAGATGTGGGGGGCGAAGAGGGCACCAGATGTGGGGGGCGAAGAGGGCACCAGATGTGGGGGGCGAAGAGGGCACCAGATGTGGGGGGCGAAGAGGGCACCAGATGTGGGGGGCGAAGAGGGCACCAGATGTGGGGGGCGAAGAGGGCGAGCCAGAGGGAGTCGAGGAGCAGCATGAGCATGAGCAGTGCGGCGTATGTGCGCCCCAGCGCCTGGTACCCGCTGGCCACGGCCACCAGGCCGAAGAGCGCCACGCCCACGTCCGCCACGATGACGCCCGTGTACGTGGGCCCCACCGTGCCCAGTAGCCCTATGAACGCCTGCCGGGGACGCGCAGTGGCGAGGCGGGCGGAGAGTGAAGGGGTTGGCACGATCAATGGCGTGTAGGTGGGGCCACCGTGGGCCAGCAGGCGTATGATGGCGTGCACGCAGGCGAGGAGGGCAGGGGGCGTCCGGCGCGTACAAGTTCAGTCCCATGACGCGGGTGGACGCGGGGCGGCGAGCGGCGCATGGGTGCCATGTGAGGCCACCCGCCTCTTGCGGAGTAATGAAGGATTCGAAACGCAGCAAGCCGTGTGGTGCCATGTGAGGCCACCCGCCAGTGCCATGTGAGGCGACCCGCCAGTGCATGCGCTCCCACCCACCAGTGCATGCGCTCCCATGCACACGTGCCGGCACATGCATGCATGGGATGCATGGGGTGCATGGTGCATGGGTTGGGGAGGACGCAGGGCGCGACTGGGGGGTGGAGGAACGAAGGAATGACAGAGGAGTGCGGCGTGGTGGAGCGCGGCGAGCAGGTGGAGAGGAGACGGCGAGGGGGGATGTAGAAGCGGCGAGGAGGAGGGATGGGGCGATGGAAATAGAGAAGGGGGAAGCAGGAGGGGAGGGGGAAAGCGGCGATGGGAGGGGGGAAACGGCGAGAAGAAGCGGGGAAGCGGCGAGGGGGGGGGGGGGCGCAAGCGCAAGAGCAGCAGGCAGCGGGGGCTCGAGCGGCTTGCCATCGTGCCTCCTCGCTCGTGGTGGCAGTAACGTGGAATGGGACCCTCCCTGTAACGGGAGCGGGTTACCAGGTTACCTGCAGGTAGAGCAGCGTGAGCGCGGCGTTCTGGACGTCCTCGTAGCTGTCGAGCCACGACAGGAAGAAGCCCTCCACAAACAGACGCGGCATGCCGCCCCTCCCTCCCCTCCTTCCCACTCCCCCTTTCCGCTGCGCGCCAAGAGTCCGCCTATGATTTAATCTCGTGCGCTACCTCGCGCCACACGGGGCATGCCGCCCGCCCCGCGCCCCCCGTCGCTGTTCGCCTCCGCAAGACGCTCTTCGCCTGAATCCGCTGCGACTCCACTCGCGTGCTCTCGCCGCTACGCGGCCTCTCGTCGATATCAGCGTCGCTAATGCTCGCAGCGCGTCGATGCCGCTCTACGGCTGCACGCCTCTAACTGATCTTCATCGCGCTATGGGCTTCTCGGGAATGCCTACCATGCTCTCGCTGGTCGGCCGCGCATCGTAGCGAGTGCGGGTGAATGAAATCCGACTTTCTCGAGAGACTTTCCCTCGAATTCGCGCTGGTTAACATAGTTGATATATTTTAAACCTAATTCTGGGCGTGTTCAGCGTGCCAGTGGTCTAGTGGTAGAATAGCACCCTGCCATCAGCTCGGTGCAGACCCGGGTTCGATTCCCGGCTGGCACAAAAGTGAATGTTTTGCTACGTCTACCTGTTCTCTCCGAACTTCGTTTCCTCGTGAAATTTCGTCTTGGCTTTTCGCTATCGTTATATCGCTGCAAAATGCCACATACTGGGTCTTTGTTGTTCGTGTCATTCGGAATATCCGGAAACCAGTACATGGGCATGAAGCTGCTGGGTTCCAACTTCGTGTGCACCCGATAAACACCGCTGACCCGGAAGTCTGAACACGCCCGCAACCCTAACTTTCGTGTCTTCAGTTCGACGCGCCTTCTGGCGTATACGACTCGCATCACTAGGTAGTTAATCGCAGCTCTTCCGTCATCCTTGCTGCAACCATTTATCTGCCCAGCCGTTGCTGAGCAGCGCCGTCACAGCTGCTCTCATCATGGTCGCGGCGGCAGCGGCGACCGCAGCGATGAGCGTGACTGGTGTCGCTGCGCACTCGGCCGCGCAATCGCACACCGTCGCTCGCGTCGCCGCGTTGCGGTTGCCGGCTAGCAGCAGCACGCGCCAAATACGGAGCGACGTTTCCGCGATGGGCGCCGCTCGGTCCGCCTCCGACGCCGTGCGGCGGTGCGGCGAGCCGCGGCTGCTGCCGGCACGACGGGGGAGCATTGGCGCACGCGCTAGTGTTGAACAGCGCCACGTGGCAGGTGCATGACGCAGCTGGCAGCATGTGACCTATTGTTCCCTTCCGATATCGCCCCCCTAGAGCAATCCCCAGTGAACTGTTCACAGGGCCAAAAGGGGGTTCTTCATTGGCGCAGCGACAGGCGCTGCAGGGAGAGAGAGGAGAGAGGAGGGCGGCAGCTAGTTCCTGCGGGTACACTCCCGCCACCCCCTCACCCTCCCTCCCACAGCGACAATCGCGTATGGGGCGATCAATGATGACGGCAGCTGCTGCCGGCGGCTCACAACGGCCTCCCCGTCACGCCACCTCCCCCACTGGCCGCCACTCCCACGACCTCCCCCGACAGCAGGAGCGCGCACGGCAGCAGCAAGCGTGATAGCTGCAGCGGGGCCGGCGAGAGGGTGGGCGGGGACAGTTGCGACGAGCGGGATAGGGGGGCCCGATCCTGCCCGCCCCAATTGCCTCTCCGTTCGACCTCCCGTCGCTCCTTCCCCCTTTCCCCTCCACCTCTCCGTCCTCCCGTGCGCCCCCTTCACAATGCTGCAATCGCGCGCGCCACCGCCACCCGCATGGCGCCACCGCGCTGCCGGCGAGCAGCGCATGCACCTCCCCTTCCTGCCCCACCCTCCACACCTCGCTCCCCCCTCCGTTCCCCCATCCCCTTCCCCGCCTTCCCCTCCGTTCCCCCATCCCCTTCCCTGCCTTTCCCCCGCAGCGGCGTCAGCACAAGCGGCGGACACAGCGGCCTTCTCGCAGGGCGGCTTCGAGCAGCTGCTGCTGGACCTGCAGGCCGCCATCTGTCACCAGGTCAGCTGCCGTGCCGTGCCGTGCCGTGACGTGCCGTGCCGTGCCGACAGGTGTGGAGGTGAGGTAAGGCGGTGACATGTGGTGAGGTGACGTCCTATGTGTCATCCCATAGCCGCTCTGTCTGCCCATCCCATCGTCCCACTCGCCCCTCCATCTCTCGCCCCTCCACGTCACGTCGGCCCTAACCCCCGTCACCTGCTCGCACCTGTGCCGCCACTCTCGCCACCTGCCCTGCCATCCCGCTCTCGTCTCTGCACTCATTGCTCCTTTCCCTCCCCCTGAAACCCCCCTTCCCCCACCGCCGCCACTATGGGCGGCAGTCAGCAGCGCGGGACGGCAGCGGCAAGGCGTTCGTGGAGGAGCGGTGGGAGCGCGACCCCGGCAACCCGTGGGCGGGGTATGGCATCACACGCGTGCTGGAGGGCGCCCACGTGCTCGAGAAGGCCGCTGCCAACGTGTCCATCGTTAGAGGCCAGCTCACTGCGGCACGCGCCAAGGTGAGCGGAGCATGGGGGGACTTGAGAAGAAGAGTGGGCAGTAAGGGGTAGGGAGAGCAAGAGGGGCTTGGGAGGGCTTTGGGGGGGACTAGGTGGATGGTTCACGGCTGGGTGGGTGGGAGGGTAAGTGTGTTAGAATATAGCATAACGTATGTTTATATTTGTGCAAGTTTTACACCCTAACGTGGGTGTACACTTTGGGTCAGGCGACCCAACCAATTTTGGTTGGGCGCTCCCAAACCCAACTCGACCGCAATTGACGGGGGGAGCCAATAATGGTTCCCCTCCACCGATTGTTTGTAACAACAGCAATTATTGGGCGTCCCAATCTGATTGGTCCGCCAACAATGCTGACGGTACCCCACCTAGTTCCCAACTTCTCATCTTCTATATGTACCCACACTCTTTGTAATGAGGATAACACTTGAGATTTTTTCAACATGCAGTGCAGTATGCAAGAGTGTGGCTTGCGCGGGTGGTCTGTGAACGACTGCCGCGTCCCTCGCATGACCGTGGCACCACCTCGCCTCAAAAGCTGTGCTCGTCTTGATGAGAAGGCTCACTGGCTGGCACCCACGGAGTGCCGCCATGCCTGGCGGTGGGTGGATGGTCCTGGCGGCCTGCATTGAACAGCCTCCGTGCCACGCTGTGAGCAAGGAGGTTTGGAAACGAGGTGAGCTTTGCTGGGCGTAAGGGCAACCCCATCCTCCTCGCTGTAAGGGCAACCCCATCCTCCTCGCTGTAAGGGCAACCCCATCCTCCTCGCTGTATGGGCAACCCCATCCTCCTCGCTGTATGGGCAACCCCATCCTCCTCGCTGTATGGGCAACCCCATCCTCCTCGCTGTATGGGCAACCCCATCCTCCTCGCTGTACCAAGGCTGGTCAGGGGAAACTGCGAGTTGATTCAAGAGGCCTCACAGGAAGGCTGCTTGTGAGGAAGCTATTCTCTAAAGCGCTCTTCCACTGACGCTGCGCCCACAAAATCTCCCGCAGGGAGTGAGGAGACCTGTGGGCGCAGTGCTGCCAGCAACGGCAGAGGGCAGGCGAGGGAGGCTGGGCGTGCCGGGCACGGCCACTATTTCCCACCCGGACAACTCCTCCTGTCCGTCCATTCCTCCATGCATGCATCGTTTTGTGCCCCTCTCTCCCCTTCTCGCTTCCAACGGTCGTTCCCCGGCACCTCCACCACATACCCCCCTCTCCCCCCACCTCTCCCCTTCCCCCCCTTTCCCCTCCACCAGGCCATGAGTGCGAGGCAGGGGAGGCAGCTGGCAGAGGGGACGGGGTACTTCGCCGGTGCGCTGTCGCTGGTGTTCCACTCCGCGCACCCGCTCATCCCCACCTTCCGCTCCGACATCCGCTACTTCCAGGTGAGCTGCCATCCGCTACTTCCAGGTGAGCTGCCATCCGCTACTTCCAGGTGAGCTGCCATCCGCTACTTCCAGGTGAGCTGCCATCCGCTACTTCCAGGTGAGCTGCCATCCGCTACTTCCAGGTGAGCTGCCATCCGCTACTTCCAGGTGAGCTGCCATCCGCTACTTCCAGGTGCGCTGCCATCCGCTACTTCCAGGTGCGCTGCCATCCGCTACTTCCAGGTGAGCTGCCATCCGCTACTTCCAGGTGAGCTGCCATCCGCTACTTCCAGGTGAGCTGCCATCCGCTACTTCCAGGTGAGCTGCCATCCGCTACTTCCAGGTGAGCTGCCATCCGCTACTTCCAGGTGAGCTGCCATCCGCTACTTCCAGGTGAGCTGCCATCCGCTACTTCCAGGTGAGCTGCCATCCGCTACTTCCAGGTGAGCTGCCATCCGCTACTTCCAGGTGAGCTGCCATCCGCTACTTCCTGGTGAGCTGCCATCCGCTACTTCCAGGTGCGCTGCCATCCGCTACTTCCAGGTGAGCTGCCATCCGCTACTTCCAGGTGAGCTGCCATCCGCTACTTCCAGGTGAGCTGCCATCCGCTACTTCCAGGTGAGCTGCCATCCGCTACTTCCAGGTGAGCTGCCATCCGCTACTTCCAGGTGAGCTGCCATCCGCTACTTCCAGGTGAGCTGCCATCCGCTACTTCCAGGTGAGCTGCCATCCGCTACTTCCAGGTGAGCTGCCATCCGCTACTTCCAGGTGAGCTGCCATCCGCTACTTCCAGGTGAGCTGCCATCCGCTACTTCCAGGTGAGCTGCCATCCGCTACTTCCAGGTGAGCTGCCATCCGCTACTTCCAGGTGAGCTGCCATCCGCTACTTCCAGGTGAGCTGCCATCCGCTACTTCCAGGTGAGCTGCCATCCGCTACTTCCAGGTGAGCTGCCATCCGCTACTTCCAGGTGAGCTGCCATCCGCTACTTCCAGGTGAGCTGCCATCCGCTACTTCCAGGTGAGCTGCCATCCGCTACTTCCAGGTGAGCTGCCATCCGCTACTTCCAGGTGCGCTGCCATCCGCTACTTCCAGGTGCGCTGCCATCCGCTACTTCCAGGTGAGCTGCCATCCGCTACTTCCAGGTGAGCTGCCATCCGCTACTTCCAGGTGAGCTGCCATCCGCTACTTCCAGGTGAGCTGCCATCCGCTACTTCCAGGTGAGCTGCCATCCGCTACTTCCAGGTGAGCTGCCATCCGCTACTTCCAGGTGAGCTGCCATCCGCTACTTCCAGGTGAGCTGCCATCCGCTACTTCCAGGTGAGCTGCCATCCGCTACTGCCAGGTGAGCTGCCATCCGCTACTTCCAGGTGAGCTGCCATCCGCTACTTCCAGGTGAGCTGCCATCCGCTACTTCCAGGTGAGCTGCCATCCGCTACTTCCAGGTGCGCTGCCATCCGCTACTTCCAGGTGAGCTGCCATCCGCTACTTCCAGGTGAGCTGCCATCCGCTACTTCCAGGTGAGCTGCCATCCGCTACTTCCAGGTGAGCTGCCATCCGCTACTTCCAGGTGAGCTGCAATCCGCTACTTCCAGGTGAGCTGACATCCGCTACTTCCAGGTGAGCTGCCATCCGCTACTTCCAGGTGCGCTGCCAGCAGAATGAAGCTGCGCCCTCCCCCTTCCAGCTGCGCCCTCCCCCTTCCAGCTGCGCCCTCCCCCTTCCAGCTGCGCCCTCCCCCTTCCAGCTGCGCCCTCCCCCTTCCAGCTGCGCCCTCCCCCTTCCAGCTGCGCCCTCCCCCTTCCAGCTGCGCCCTCCCCCTTCCAGCTGCGCCCTCCCCCTTCCAGCTGCGCCCTCCCCCTTCCAGCTGCGCCCTCCCCCTTCCAGCTGCGCCCTCCCCCTTCCAGCTGCGCCCTCCCCCTTCCAGCTGCGCCCTCCCCCTTCCAGCTGCGCCCTCTCCCTTCCAGCTGCGCCCTCCCCCTTCCAGCTGCGCCCTCCCCCTTCCACCCTTCCAGCTGCGCCCTCCCCCTTCCACCCTTCCAGCTGCGCCCTCCCCCTTCCACCCTTCCAGCTGCGCCCTCCCCCTTCCACCCTTCCAGCTGCGCCCTCCCCCTTCCACCCTTCCAGCTGCGCCCTCCCCCTTCCAGCTGCGCCCTCCCCCTTCCACCCTTCCAGCTGCGCCCTCCCCCTTCCACCCTTCCAGCTGCGCCCCCTCATCTCCTCTCCTCCGGCGGCTGCCCAACACATCAAAACTGTGTTGGGGTGTAGTACTAGCAACTTAGGTTAGATAATGTTGGGGGTGGAGTGGGTTTTATGTGGAGGCAGGTGGCAGCAATGCAGCGAATTCGACCCAACCTTGTTGGCACAGTGAGCCGTGGTTGGTGTCACCCGGCCCGGCTCTGCCACGCTTGCCTGCATGCCACAGCCACCGCCTTGCGCTCATGTCTTCCTGGAAATCCCCCTTACCTCCCCTTGCCCTCTCCCTAATCTCTCTTCCTCTCCCTCATCTCTCCCTCTCGCTCATCTCTCTCTGCCCCTCCCACCACCTGTCGCCCCCATCAGGTGGACGGGCAGAACGGCTGGTTTGGTGGAGGGGCCGACCTCACGCCTTCATGTGAGTCCACGTCACCCCCTCATGTGAGTCCACGTCACCTCCTGATGTGAGTCCACCTTTCCATCCTCCAGCAGCCCACCGTCCATTTCAGATCTCACTACCACAGACGCACACCCTCCCTCTCACCCTCCTTCCCTACCACCCCCCGCAGTCGGCCCTCCTCGTCCCCCGCCGTCCCTCCTTGTCCCTTCTCCTCTCCCCCCACCTCAACCCTGTCCTCGCAGACCTCTTCCCAGCGGACTTGAGTGAGTTCCACGCCTTCCACCGCTCCGTTGGCCACTGCTGCCACCCAGGTCTCACTCCCCCATAGCTCCCTCCTCATTCATCCTCACCCCGCCTCACCCCTCCGCACCCCCCTCGCCAGACCTCTTCCCGGCGGACATCAGGGAGTTCCACGCGTTCTACCGCGCCATCTGCGACCGCTACCACCCGCAGCTGTACGCGGCGGCCAAGGCGCAGTGCGACGGGTACTTCTACCTGCCGGCGCGCGCGGAGCACCGCGGGGTGGGCGGCATCTTCTTCGACGACCTCGACCGCATCCCCCCACCCCACGCCCCCCTCGCCCTCAGCCCCTCTGCCGCTCCCGCACCCGCTACTGCTGCTGGCGCGGGCGAGGAGGGCTTTGAACGGGCGCATCGCTTCACGGTGGACGTGGCGCGGGGCTTCATGGACAGCTTCTGGCCCATCGTGGACAGGCGGCGTGGCTTGGCGTTTACTGAGGCGCAGCGGCAGTGGCAGCTGGAGCGGCGGGGGCGGTACCTGGAGTTCAACCTGCTGTACGACCGCGGGGTGAAGTTCGGCATGGATGGCCACGGGCGCGTGGAGTCCATCATGGTGTCCGGTGAGCGCCGGGCAGGGGGGACGTGCGTGTCCGGTGAGCGCCGGGCAGGGGGGACGTGCGTGTCCGGTGAGCGCCGGGCAGGGGGGACGTGCGTGTCCGGTGAGCGCCGGGCAGGGGGGACGTGCGTGACGGGCGAGGGGAGGAGGTGGGAGGGTGGAGGGCATCCTAGTGTGAGGTCAGCGGCGGGGGTGGAGGGCATCCTGGTGTGAGGTGAGCGGCGGGGGTGGAGGGCATCCTGGTGTGAGGTCAGCGGCGGGGGTGGAGGGCATCCTGGTGTGAGGTCAGCGGCGTGGGTGGATGGTGAAGTGAGAGGCGTGCGAGGGGAGGGCGTTGGAGGTAGTTGGTGATGGTTGGGGTTGGGATGGGAAATGGGTTGTGCTGACTGATGAGCTTCACACAGGGGAATGGCGAGTCAACCTGCAGGTGCGCAGAGCAGAGCATTGGGGTTGCGTTGAGTGCACAGCACAGGTGAGCAGGTGCTGCTGCCATGCTCTCATTCGTTCACGCGTGCGCACTCCTCTGATGGAGACCGATGATAGTCGTTTTCTTCTTCCACCACCTCGTGTGGGTTGACTTCTGCTCATTGCAATTCCTTCCCACCCACCTGAGTCTAGCCTCCACGAATCTCGTTTTTCTTACCTATCCCCCATCCTCCATCCCCTCACCTTCCGTCATTGTCCGTCCTTTCCCCCCACTCCTCCCATGGCACCGTGCACGAGTGCAGCTCCACCGCTGATCGCGTGGCGCTACAACGTGCAGCCGCAGCCAGGCTCGCCAGAGGAGGAGCTGGTCAAGGTGCTCAAATCGCCCGTTGACTGGGCGTGACGCGTCTTGCTTTGGTTGACTGGTGTCTTGTGCCATACTGTCTGCTTGGCGTTCCTACCAGGCCTCTGGATAGGATTTGGGGCACTCTTACTCGCAAGGCCAGTTCGCTGAAGTTGGTCTTTCAGTAAGGGTGGGTCAGCCATGTCAGTCTTTTTTATCAGTGTCAGCTGGAAAGGTACTCTTGCTCATCAGTGTGCACATTGTTTTCACCCTTTCATGTTTAGACTTAAGCGTGGATTACATATTAAAGATGGCACTAACTAACAGAGCAACTAAAGCACCAGTGCCTGGTTCTAACAGAATAAGCTTAGCAGTGAGCACAAGTTAATACGGTATAGGAACTCTTGAGCAGGGCGGCGCTTCTTGCCAGCATTGAACATTGCTACCGTATGCATGAGCCCCGCGAGTGAAACTCGACTTAGGTTGCTGCCGCCACTTCTGCCGTGCCGAACACGAACCAGATTTCAGCTTCTTGGCAGCACAGTTGTGAGCAGCAGCGGCATTCTCCATTACATGTGTTGTGCTTTTCGTGGTGTCAGTTCAGGCGTCGTGGTGCACGTCACGCCCCGCTTCAGCCAGCGCGGTCTCAGCCTCAGTAGAGGCAACGACGGGCTCTGGTTCAAGCAGTCGCTTAGAAGGCACTGTTAAAAAGCGAAGGCCCTTTCATGAGGGTGAGTGCAGGACCTGACGACGAGCCTCGTCGTCATCCTCGCCGCTGGTGACAACAGCCATGACGAGGGACTTGGAGGTAGATGCTGGAGCTATGCTTATAATAGCAGCAGGAAGGCGTGGTCTGCAAACCCTAGACGAGACCACGAGGAGGAAAACTGGATGAATAAAATGAACTGACTGGGTTGGGGTTGGGTGAGAGCGGCTGGTCGGTGGGTGGGGGTCTGGTGGGGAGGGAGGAAGGGACCAAGCAGGACTCTCCTGGACGATGCACACCTGTGTGGCGCTGTGTGTCACCGCCAGGCAGGCAAAATGCATGTGGTACGGGTACAGGTTGCGGGACTGTGGCTGTGGCGACGCGAGCGGTCTTGGCAGGGCTCTCGTTATCAGGGTAAAATACCCTTTTTGCACTGACTGGCGGCCGCTTTTTTTTAGTTACCCTTTCCCAGACGGGGTATTAGGATTTTTACCCTAGGCCAGAAAGTGTAGTTTTTTTTCCCCCCTTTGTAAAACAGTGTGATGGATTTTTTACCCCGAGTGTTCAGGGTACGGTTTCAGTTACGCTGATACTGAGTTTCTCGGAACCGAGGATATCCGACTATGAACACGTTGCGTAAAGGACAGCAGGACCAACACCCACATAAGATGACATCAACCACAGGTGCAGTCCCGAGGACTTTTCCCGCGACGTGCCGCGTAACCACCACATTGGTGGAAGTGGCAGCCATGCTGACAGCGCATCATGTGTTTCGTGCTGTCCAGGGCACATCATGGCAGGCAAGAGGAAGCACCGTGAGCCACGCATGAGCCGCGCTCCGGGGTCTTCCAAGCCATCACAGGTGGTGGTGGGGCTTTGTGTGCTCCCAAGGACACCCCATCTTGTTCCTCCTACTCATTCTTACCGTGAGGGAACACCATCGAGGTTCCGGCCCATGCCTCAGTCATGCCTGCCGAGCATTCTCAAGAACCGCCTGCTGTAGTGCGCAATGGCCTATCTGTGCTGGGTGTTCTTCCCCGCCTGCCTGAGTCCTACAGCGTGCCGATTTCACCACTGCCACGTCCCGCTTCTCCAGTGCGCAGTGTAGGCACCGTCTTCCCGTTCGAGCCGCCATCCACGTCGGCTGACTGGGAGCCGCACCCATCAGTCATTCTTGTGCCTGGCGGTGGGGAAGGGTCGTCCAGGCCACCGGCGGATTCACCGTCTACTGTGAACAGCACGGCGGTCAAACGCCCGCGGGTCGCTGTGAAGTACAAGCAGCAGCGCCTCTGGGGAGCTCCTCCTCCTGGGAGGGTTGCCTCTCCGCAACGTGATGCTGATCCTGAAGATGAAGCGCCGCCAAAAACAACCGGTGATGTTATGTATGACACGATAAAGCATCGCTATGAGTCTGAGTGGCGGAATAAATTTAAGTGGTTACGTCTCATTCGGTTGCCTAACGGTCTTGCCAAGTTGAAGTGCGACATCTGCGTGCAGCATGGAGACCCCACCGCTCACACTAGCTACGGTGCGAAGGGCGAGGGTGGGCGCGACCTCCAGATTGGTAGCGTCCGGGCCCATTCCGCGACGAGAGCCCACAAGAACGCGTTGAAAGCCCAAGCAGAAGCGGAAGCGGACAAGGCGAAACAAGTGAGCATCACCCGCTGGCAGGCAACCGACGCGTCGACGAGGCACATCATTCGCGTTCTGCACATCGCTGTCTTCGTCTGCAAGGCGGATGCGCCAATCGCGATGTTCATCCCGCTCTGCTGGTTCTTGGCGAAGGAAGGTCTTCCCGACCTCCCCAACAGTGGTGGTTACGGCGCCTACTACACAGAGTAAGCCCGTGTTTGTTAGAAGTGTGGCTCGCGTTGTGCGCCAATCGCGTTCTCACGGCTGTGTTTTGTTCATGTGGTCTGCAGATACGGCTTCAGAGAAAACCTCTGGGCAATCTCAGCTTACCTCCAGGAAGTGCAGCGGTTGCATCTACTGGAGTCGCCCTGGATTGGTCTTTCCCTCGACGAAAGCAGTGATCGCGTCAACGGGAAACACCTCATCCTCTACGCCACTTTTTTCCGAGGGATCGCAGTGGTGACCGAGTTTTTGACGCTGATAACTGTTGACCGTGCTGACGCCGCGTCTTTGACTTCTGCTGTGGTGCAGTACCTGACAGGGATTGGACTGGATCTTCAGAAGATGTCGTCCGTATCTACGCACGATGCGAATGTCATGATGGGGAAGCACACTGGTGTTGTCGCTCGTCTGCGCATGCGGATTCCTCATCTTGCCTCAACGCACTGCGTCGCACATCGGTAGGTTCTTACCTGACGTAAAGCTAGTAATGTTCGTTTCTGTTATCCACCATCGTTCTCACGCTGCTTCATTGTTTACACTTGCAGGGAGGCTCTGGCTGCAAAAAATGCCGGGGAAGCAGTTCCCGAACTCTTTATGGTGGACAGTGTCGTCCGTGGCTTCGCTGACCTCATCAGCCGTTCCAACGTGAAGTACGACAAGTTTCACAACATCCAGCAGGTGTTCTGCAAGACCGACCTCGAGGCTCAAGGCATTCATGAAGTTCGATGGCTGTCACGCGGAGAAGCAGTTAGACGCCTCCTTGAAATCCTACCTGCGGTCATTGTGGTGCTGAAGGAGTACAACGCCGATCTGTACGAGGTTGCCACTTCATTCAAATTCCACTGGATGCTTCGCCTGCTTGCTGATGTGCTTTGGGAGCTGAATTTCCTGAATCAGCGGTTCCAGCAAAGGCAGGTACGGTTGGCACATACCCGTTCTGTTGTGTTCCTTATCCAACGTGTTTCGATTATACATGTCGCTTACCGTGTCACTTGTTTTCACTCTGCAGATCGACATCACTCTGGTGGCGCACCTGGTGCAGCAGACACGATGGCGCCTGAAGAACCGTTATTTGAACGGTTCCCCATCTCAGCACTTCGGCAACGGGGAAAAGATGACCCTCAACGACTTCATTCAGCGCCACCAGAAGATGGACAAGCGGGAGGTGAAGGCTGAGGGCGTAGACAGTGATGGCAACCCCGTGACCTTCGAGTACGAGCTGCACGAGACGGCCGGTAACGTTGAGGCGTGCTATGAGCTGTCGTTGAAGTTCGTGCGTGAAATCGATAAGGAGCTGGAGTGGCGCATGAGGGACTTGGCGCATCTGGAGGGGTCGAAGCTGTTTCGCTCAGCATCGTACGTCTCAGACGATACAAAGCGTGTGGAGACCTTCAAAAAGTGGCTGGCTCAACTGCACAAACTGTTCAACAACAAACTGCCAGGTATGTATGTGTTCGGTTTGTGTGCGAGCGTGGTTGTTGGGTACCTGAACGCATGCGCGTTGATGTATAGTATCTTCGTGCACTCATGCCTGCGCCTTGTTGATTGTTTGGTTTAAGATTTCCCCTCCCTCCCGCCTGCTGCAAGTATACCCTGCGTAATTCCCACTCCCGATCATCAGGATTTGACTACACCAGGGCACAGAGCGAGCTGTGGATGTTCACGTCTACCATGTTTTCACAGCACAACGACGAGGACTTCCACCAGGCGCTGGGGAACATGCTTCGGGACGACGCATGGCAGCACTCCTTCCCCAACCTGATGCGGATATGGCAGGCTGTTGCCGTGCTACCACTCAGCACGGTGGAGTGCGAGAGGGGATTTAGCAAGCAGAATCTGATCAAGTCGTGGGAGCGTGGCGCCCTCTCTGACACCACCCTCGAGCATCTGATGAGATGCTCTCTGCTCCAGTACGACGTGGACTGGTACGAGGTGGTATTGATTTTCAGGGGAGAGAAGCTGCGGCGGTCAACATAGGACTTCAGTGGCACCAACCCAGGAGAGGCTCTTTTTGCTGATGACAACAACGAGGGATCTTCTGACCCTGTTACTTGAGGACTAGGGAAACCCAATGGTAGTTCTGTTAGCCTGGTATTTCACCATGTGTAGCTTTAGTGCCATGCTGATTGATTGTACTAGTTAGGAAGACTGAAATCATAGTATTGTCAGAATCCCAGCCACTTGACCACTGGGATAAAAGGGCTTGTTAAGTAGCGGGTCAGTGCGCCCATAACCCCCCAGGCCAACGCGCCTGTAACCCTTCCCTAGGATCAATCGGGGATCACCGGTGGACCTCTGACAAGTATCTGCAACTTTATGCTGCTAAATTCAGTGTAGAGACATTTTCATACTGACTGATTCAGTGTATTGGAATTTTTACGCTGCAGAATACAGGGAAAAAAAAAATTTACCCTAGCCATCAGGGTTCACTTAACCTCGTACCCTGATCACCCAGGGTCGGCCAAAACCAATCTGAAGGCCTGGGTCTTGGCGACGCGCAATTCTGGTGACTCGGGCAAATCGCCGCTAATCGCGGCAGAAATCACGTCGGTGAATAAACCCCCCCCCCCCCCCCCCCCCACCCCTCTCCCCCCTAAAAAATCGCATCAGGGTGGTACCCAACACTACTCGTTGTCATCAGGGCGAGTACACCAGGTCGGTCTGAAATATCTGTGTTACACAAAAATTCACTTTTTATTGTAAGGGCGCCCTAAAATACAACTCTGTAAAATCAGGGTGAACACCTAAACCCACCCTTATAATAAGGGCCATAAGGGTGATTTACCCTGATATCAAGAGGCCTGGTTCCTACTTTACCAGCGCCGCCAACACTCCTACTACCGTATTGCACGGTTGTTGGAATGTTGTCATAATGGAATCTCTACCACTACCAGCTTTCTACACTTAAAGAGCAGGATGTACACTCTGGGAAAGTTGATGGAAAAAATGAAGACATTCAGACCAGGCCCCCCAACTGGTTTTGGACCCGTTGGATAGATCAGCTTAGGTACCGGTATGTACAAAATGCTTCGTTCACAAGGTTTTGTTGGTCACACAGCGTTTGCTAGTTCACAAGCTCTTGCCGTATTCCCCCGGATAAAGGCCCCTGCGGTTCTAGTTTCTGTAAACCCCCGGATACCGGTATAAGAACCGGGGGCAGGCCTCTGGTTAACAGGGTGAATCACCCTTATGACACTGACTATAAGGCTGGTTTTCATAATGCACCCTTTTTTTTCAGAGTGGTTCATTTCGGGACCCTTCCAAAAAAAAGTGTTTGGTTCTAGGACACTGATATTTCAGAGTTACGAGATGTAGACACACTGACGAAACCGAGTTCGCTCTAACAGGGATATTACATTTTCCTGCGTATAACCAACTATCACAGCATCCAACAACAGAGTTCACCTACATCGAATATCGAACCTGCATCCTGAGCATCAAATTTACACCGCAAGTCACTACAACACCACACCATGTAAGTGTAGCAGATAAAACTTTTTTTTTACCCTATTCTTGCACCCTGCTAGGAAAGAGTGTTCTCGCCACGTACCCTTTCAGAAAGAGTGAAGACGGAGCATTGGCCTTAAGAGAAAGAGAGGCTCAAATCCTAACCAGAGGCATGCCCGGGGGTTAACAGAATTGCACCAAGAAAATAGGGGGGGAGAGCAGGGCGTGTGCTAGGATTTAGGGCACCCTGAGCCCTCATGATAACTTTTGCAAGCTTTCCGAAGTGCCCTGATTTCTCAGGGCAAAATTCCCTGGCCATCCTGACGTTTCAGGGCACCAGCAGAAATCCATCTGGATGTTTCAGGGCAAGAAATACAAGACACTAGAGTGGATGGAGGGGAAGGCACGGAAGGAGCAGGTTGTTCAGTCCTTTCACTTCTACTGGCTGAGGAAAAATTGGTGGGGGAGGGGTGGGGACAAAACTAGCGTACACACCCCTCAGCCTCCTTCCTCCCCTCTCCCCCTCTCCCCCCTCCACCCCTTCTCCCCTTCCCACGAGTCAGGGCATCCCTCTATATTCACCCTACCGTGTTACCCCGGATAGTAGCGCATATGCGCGTATAATAAAATTGGCTTCTTTAAAGCCCGGGGTCAGCATGGTAATTTATCAAGTTATGTGGGTTTGAAATAGTGTTGGCAAAACCTTGAAAACAATAATTTCGGCAAAGTCAGTGTAGCGAGAAAAATATTGATTGACGAGGGGGAAAGGGGTCTCGCCAAACGTGAAGCGATGGTGAACGATACTGTGCAGCTTTGACGGATTTGCAAGCAGTGTGGGGCGACTGGAAGGAGTGTCGCAAAGATTGTTCTTCAGCCAATCAGGTTCAAGTAGTGGAGAAGGTCCACGCACAATGCGACTACTAGCAAAAACGAAAACGGGAAGCACCAACACGAGTGAGGAGAAAGAACACCACGATCATTCAAGCTAACTACTTCGTGTGAAATAACCGCAGGAGCTAACAAGGGAACGTGCAAACGAAGGTGACATGCCAGAAAACGTACATGCTGAGTCGCAGGAATGAGCGTTGAGAAGAGCGCGACACAGCGCGATATGGCCTCTGGCACATCGATTGCCTCTGGCAGCACGTAGGTCGAAAATTTCGGGGCATTGCGAACGTATATTGGGCTCGAAAGTGCCTATTACTTAGGGCAATGCCACGCTGGGGGCGTCCACAATACGCAGACCCTTAGGGTTACGCAATTCTACTCTGTCAGCCACCGGGCGCCCACGGGCGGGTAGCAGGGCGCGAAATACAGAGACGACCATCCCCCTCACCGGTTTACGCACAGCTCGCGCCACTGGTCGTCTAGCAGCGCGTCAACTCGCAAACGTCCAGCGCGCGCACTATTCTGGTCGACAAGCAGCGTGGAGAGGGCGCTGGAACGAGGCACCACCACGCTAGGACAGGTACACGTGCTCCACGCCCTTGCACTCTGCGCTCTGCCCCCTCCGCCCCCTGCGCTCTGCGCTTTGCCCCCTCCGCCCCCTGCGCTTTGCCCCCTGCACTCTGCGCTATGCGCCCTGCGATCTGCGCCCTATTCTCTGCGCCCCATGCACTGCGCCCCATGCTCTGCGCCCTATGCTCTGCGCCCTATGCTCTGCGCCCTATGCTCTGCGCCCTATGCTCTGCGCCCTATGCTCTGCGCCCTATGCTCTGCGCCCTATGCTCTGCGCCCTATGCTCTGCGCCCTATGCTCTGCGCCCTATGCTCTGCGCCCTATGCTCTGCGCCCTATGCTCTGCGCCCTATGCTCTGCGCCCTATGCTCTGCGCCCTATGCTCTGCGCCCTATGCTCTGCGCCCTATGCTCTGCGCCCTATGCTCTGCGCCCTATGCTCTGCGCCCTATGCTCTGCGCCCTATGCTCTGCGCCCTATGCTCTGCGCCCTATGCTCTGCGCCCTATGCTCTGCGCCCTATGCTCTGCGCCCTATGCTCTGCGCCCTATGCTCTGCGCCCTATGCTCTGCGCCCTATGCTCTGCGCCCTATGCTCTGCGCCCTATGCTCTGCGCCCTATGCTCTGCGCCCTATGCTCTGCGCCCTATGCTCTGCGCCCTATGCTCTGCGCCCTATGCTCTGCGCCCTATGCTCTGCGCCCTATGCTCTGCGCCCTATGCTCTGCGCCCTATGCTCTGCGCCCTATGCTCTGCGCCCTATGCTCTGCGCCCTATGCTCTGCGCCCTATGCTCTGCGCCCTATGCTCTGCGCCCTATGCTCTGCGCCCTATGCTCTGCGCCCTATGCTCTGCGCCCTATGCTCTGCGCCCTATGCTCTGCGCCCTATGCTCTGCGCCCTATGCTCTGCGCCCTATGCTCTGCGCCCTATGCTCTGCGCCCTATGCTCTGCGCCCTATGCTCTGCGCCCTATGCTCTGCGCCCTATGCTCTGCGCCCTATGCTCTGCGCCCTATGCTCTGCGCCCTATGCTCTGCGCCCTATGCTCTGCGCCCTATGCTCTGCGCCCTATGCTCTGCGCCCTATGCTCTGCGCCCTATGCTCTGCGCCCTATGCTCTGCGCCCTATGCTCTGCGCCCTATGCTCTGCGCCCTATGCTCTGCGCCCTATGCTTCTGCGCCCTATGCTCTGCGCCCTATGCTCTGCGCCCTATGCTCTGCGCCCTATGCTCTGCGCCCTATGCTCTGCGCCCCTATGCTCTGGCGCCCTATGCTCTGCGCCCTATGCTCTGCGCCCTATGCTCTGCGCCCTATGCTCTGCGCCCTATGCTCTGCGCCCTATGCTCTGCGCCCTATGCTCTAGCGCCCTATGCTCTGCGCCCTATGCTCTGCGCCCTATGCTCTGCGCCCTATGCTCTGCGCCCTATGCTCTGCGCCCTATGCTCTGCGCCCTATGCTCTGCGCCCTATGCTCTGCGCCCTATGCTCTGCGCCCTATGCTCTGCGCCCTATGCTCTGCGCCCTATGCTCTGCGCCCTATGCTCTGCGCCCTATGCTCTGCGCCCTATGCTTCTGCGCCCTATGCTCTGCGCCCTATGCTCTGCGCCCTATGCTCTGCGCCCTATGCTCTGCGCCCTATGGCTCTGCGCCCTATGCTCTGCGCCCTATGCTCTGCGCCCTATGCTCTGCGCCCTATGCTCTGCGCCCTATGCTCTGCGCCCTATGCTCTGCGCCCTATGCTCTGCGCCCTATGCCTCTGCGCCCTATGCTCTGCGCCCTATGCTCTGCGCCCTATGCTCTGCGCCCTATGCTCTGCGCCCTATGCTCTGCGCCCTATGCTCTGCGCCCTATGCTCTGCGCCCTATGATCTGCGCCCCTATGCTCTGCGCCCTATGCTCTGCGCCCTATGCTCTGCGCCCTATGCTCTGCGCCCTATGCTCTGCGCCCTATGTCCTGCGCCCTATTGCCTCTGCGCCCTATGCTCTGCGCCTATGCTCTGCGCCCTATGCTCTGCGCCCTAATGCTCTGCGCCCTATGCTCTGCGCCTATGCTCTGCGCCCTATGCTCTGCGCCCTATGCTTCTGCGCCCTATGCTCTGCGCCCTATGCTCTTGCGCCCTATGCTCTGCGGCCCTATGCTCTGCGCCCTATGCTCTGCGCCCTATGCTCTGCGCCTATGCTCTGCGCCCTATGCTCTGCGCCCTATGCTCTGCCCCTATGGCTCTGCGCCCTATGCTCTGCGCCCTAGGGCTCTGCGCCCTATGCTCTGCGCCCTATGCTCTGCGCCCTATGCTCTGCGCCCTATGCTCTGCGCCCTATGCTCTGCGCCCTATGCTCTGCGCCCTATGCTCTGCGCCCTATGCTCTGCGCCCTATGCTCTGCGCCCTATGCTCTGCGCCCTATGCTCTGCGCCCTATGCTCTGCGCCCTATGCTCTGCGCCCTATGCTCTGCGCCCTATGCTCTGCGCCCTATGCTCTGCGCCCTATGCTCTGCGCCCTATGCTCTGCGCCCTATGCTCTGCGCCCTATGCTCTGCGCCCTATGCTCTGCGCCCTATGCTCTGCGCCCTATGCTCTGCGCCCTATGCTCTGCGCCCTATGCTCTGCGCCCTATGCTCTGCGCCCTATGCTCTGCGCCCTATGCTCTGCGCCCTATGCTCTGCGCCCTATGCTCTGCGCCCTATGCTCTGCGCCCTATGCTCTGCGCCCTATGCTCTGCGCCCTATGCTCTGCGCCCTATGCTCTGCGCCCTATGCTCTGCGCCCTATGCTCTGCGCCCTATGCTCTGCGCCCTATGCTCTGCGCCCTATGCTCTGCGCCCTATGCTCTGCGCCCTATGCTCTGCGCCCTATGCTCTGCGCCCTATGCTCTGCGCCCTATGCTCTGCGCCCTATGCTCTGCGCCCTATGCTCTGCGCCCTATGCTCTGCGCCCTATGCTCTGCGCCCTATGCTCTGCGCCCTATGCTCTGCGCCCTATGCTCTGCGCCCTATGCTCTGCGCCCTATGCTCTGCGCCCTATGCTCTGCGCCCTATGCTCTGCGCCCTATGCTCTGCGCCCTATGCTCTGCGCCCTATGCTCTGCGCCCTATGCTCTGCGCCCTATGCTCTGCGCCCTATGCTCTGCGCCCTATGCTCTGCGCCCTATGCTCTGCGCCCTATGCTCTGCGCCCTATGCTCTGCGCCCTATGCTCTGCGCCCTATGCTCTGCGCCCTATGCTCTGCGCCCTATGCTCTGCGCCCTATGCTCTGCGCCCTATGCTCTGCGCCCTATGCTCTGCGCCCTATGCTCTGCGCCCTATGCTCTGCGCCCTATGCTCTGCGCCCTATGCTCTGCGCCCTATGCTCTGCGCCCTATGCTCTGCGCCCTATGCTCTGCGCCCTATGCTCTGCGCCCTATGCTCTGCGCCCTATGCTCTGCGCCCTATGCTCTGCGCCCTATGCTCTGCGCCCTATGCTCTGCGCCCTATGCTCTGCGCCCTATGCTCTGCGCCCTATGCTCTGCGCCCTATGCTCTGCGCCCTATGCTCTGCGCCCTATGCTCTGCGCCCTATGCTCTGCGCCCTATGCTCTGCGCCCTATGCTCTGCGCCCTATGCTCTGCGCCCTATGCTCTGCGCCCTATGCTCTGCGCCCTATGCTCTGCGCCCTATGCTCTGCGCCCTATGCTCTGCGCCCTATGCTCTGCGCCCTATGCTCTGCGCCCTATGCTCTGCGCCCTATGCTCTGCGCCCTATGCTCTGCGCCCTATGCTCTGCGCCCTATGCTCTGCGCCCTATGCTCTGCGCCCTATGCTCTGCGCCCTATGCTCTGCGCCCTATGCTCTGCGCCCTATGCTCTGCGCCCTATGCTCTGCGCCCTATGCTCTGCGCCCTATGCTCTGCGCCCTATGCTCTGCGCCCTATGCTCTGCGCCCTATGCTCTGCGCCCTATGCTCTGCGCCCTATGCTCTGCGCCCTATGCTCTGCGCCCTATGCTCTGCGCCCTATGCTCTGCGCCCTATGCTCTGCGCCCTATGCTCTGCGCCCTATGCTCTGCGCCCTATGCTCTGCGCCCTATGCTCTGCGCCCTATGCTTCTGCGCCCTATGCTCTGCGCCCTATGCTCTGCGCCCTATGCTCTGCGCCCTATGCTCTGCGCCCTATGCTCTGCGCCCTATGCTCTGCGCCCTATGCTCTGCGCCCTATGCTCTGCGCCCTATGCTCTGCGCCCTATGCTCTGCGCCCTATGCTCTGCGCCCTATGCTCTGCGCCCTATGCTCTGCGCCCTATGCTCTGCGCCCTATGCTCTGCGCCCTATGCTCTGCGCCCTATGCTCTGCGCCCTATGCTCTGCGCCCTATGCTCTGCGCCCTATGCTCTGCGCCCTATGCTCTTGCGCCCTATGCTCTGCGCCCTATGCTCTGCGCCTATGCTCTGCGCCCTATGCCTCTGCCCGCCCTATGCTCTGCGCCCTATGCTCTGCGCCCCCTATGCTCTGCGCCCCTATGCTCTGCGCCCTATGCTCTGCGCCCTATGCTCTGCGCCCTATGCTCTGCGCCCTATGCTCTGCGCCCTATGCTCTGCGCCCTATGCTCTGCGCCCTATGCTCTGCGCCCTATTGCTCTGCGCCCCTATGCTCTGCGCCCTATGCTCTGCGCCCTATGGCTCCCCTGCGCCCTATGCTCTGCGCCCTATGCTCGCGCCTATGCTCTGCGCCCTATGCTCTGCGCCCTATGCTCTGCGCCCTATGCTCTGCGCCCTATGCTCTGCGCCCTATGCTCTGCGCCCTATGCTCTGCGCCCTATGCTCTGCGCCCTATGCTCTGCGCCCTATGCTCTGCGCCCTATGCTCTGCGCCCTATGCTCTGCGCCCTATGCTCTGCGCCCTATGCTCTGCGCCCTATGCTCTGCGCCCTATGCTCTGCGCCCTATGCTCTGCGCCCTATGCTCTGCGCCCTATGCTCTGCGCCCTATGCTCTGCGCCCTATGCTCTGCGCCCTATGCTCTGCGCCCTATGCTCTGCGCCCTATGCTCTGCGCCCTATGCTCTGCGCCCTATGCTCTGCGCCCTATGCTCTGCGCCCTATGCTCTGCGCCCTATGCTCTGCGCCCTATGCTCTGCGCCCTATGCTCTGCGCCCTATGCTCTGCGCCCTATGCTCTGCGCCCTATGCTCTGCGCCCTATGCTCTGCGCCCTATGCTCTGCGCCCTATGCTCTGCGCCCTATGCTCTGCGCCCTATGCTCTGCGCCCTATGCTCTGCGCCCTATGCTCTAGCGCCCTATGCTCTGCGCCCTATGCTCTGCGCCTATGCTCTGCGCCCTATGCTCTGCGCCCTATGCTCTGCGCCCTATGCTCTGCGCCCTATGCTCTGCGCCCTATGCTCTGCGCCCTATGCTCTGCGCCCTATGCTCTGCGCCCTATGCTCTGCGCCCTATGCTCTGCGCCCTATGCTCTGCGCCCTATTCCCCTTCTCGCCAAACCTCCACCCGCCCCCGCCCCTTTCCAACCCCTACCCCTCATGGTTGTCCCCTTCCTCCCTTTCCCCCACCCGTTTTCTTCCTCCCACATGAGGCATGGAGGAGGGCAGGAGAAAGAAATTTGAGGGTGGAGTGTCGTCCACTGCGGCATGTCTCAACCTCTCTCCCTCTCCCACTCTCCCCCTCCTCCTTCCTTTCTCTCTGCCCGCCGCGCCCTTCCCCTCTTCCTCCTCGCAGGGGGGGTGGCGCACAACATAGCGGAGTGCATGGCAGCACTCTCCGCCACGCCCTTCCTCATCTCCGCTGTGGGGGATGACGCTGCAGGCAGGTCGCACTGCTGCAGGCAGGTCGCAATGCTGCTCTGCTCTGCTCCCCATCTGTTCCTCCCCATCTGTTCCTCCCCATCTGTTCCTCCCCATCTGTTCCTCCCCATCTGTTCCTCCCCATCTGTTCCTCCCCATCTGTTCCTCCGCATCTCTGTTCCTCCCCATCTGTTCCTCCCCATCTTTTCCTCCCCATCTGTTCCTCCCCATCTGTTCCTCCCTATCTGTTCCTCTCCATCTGTTCCTCCCCATCTGTTCCTCCCCATCTGTTCCTCCCCATCTGTTCCTCCCCATCTGTTCCCCCCCATCTGTTCCTCCCCACCTGTTCCTCCACATCTGTTCCTCCCCATCTGTTCCTCCCCATCTGTTCCTCCGCATCTCTGTTCCTCCCCATCTGTTCCTCCCCATCTTTTCCTCCCCATCTGTTCCTCCCCATCTGTTCCTCCCTATCTGTTCCTCTCCATCTGTTCCTCCCCATCTGTTCCTCCCCATCTGTTCCTCCCCATCTGTTCCTCCCCATCTGTTCCTCCCCACCTGTTCCTCCACATCTGTTCCTCCCCATCTGTTCCTCCCCATCTCTGTTCCTCCCCGTCTGTTCCTCCCCGTCTGTTCCTCCCCGTCTATTCCTCCCCGTCTGTTCCTCCCCATCTGTTCCTCCCCATCTGTTCCTCCCCATCTGTTCCTCCCCATCTGTTCCTCCCCATCTCTGTTCCTCCCCATCTGTTCCTCCCCATCTGTTCCTCCCCATCTGTTCCTCCCCATCTCTTCCTCCCCATCTGTTCCTCCCCATCTATTCCTCCCCATCTCTGTTCCTCCCCATCTATTCCTCCCCATCTGTTCCTCCCCATCTGTTCCTCCCCATCTGTCCCACCCCTTTCGGAAGGAATGAGGGACGAAGGACGGGTGGAGATGGTGAGATGGGGAGAGGGGAAGAGCGGAAGACGAGGGGAAGCGCGAGTGACTGGGAGGCAAGCCCGACGACGGGACGCGCGGGCAACGAGGGGAGGCGAGGGCGGCGAGGGTCGGCACGGGTGATGAGGGGAAGCGCGAGCGACGAGAGGGAATGTGGGTGACCAAGGGAGGTGAGGGCGGCGAGGATCGGTGCGGGTCGACGAGGGTGATGAGGGGAGCGCAGGTGACGATCTGAAGCGCGGTATGTTTACTATCAGCAATTGCGACGAGGGGATGTGTGGTTAACGTGGGAGAGCGCGGGCAACTAGGGGAACATATGCGACCAGAGGGTCGGGGAGGGTGATGAGGGAAAGCGCGGGCGACGACGAAAGCGGTCTGGCGTGGGCAAGAGCGGTCGACGAGGAGGAACATGTGCGACTAACGGCTGAGTGCGTCACGCGAACCAGTACGGCATTCGCGTGAGCGACCCGTGCCTAAAACGGTACGATCGTGACACGAGGCTGAATGGCAGCAAGTGTGACAAGAGCATGCGTGTGCGACGCGAGCTTGAATGCAAGACTCGAGTAACGTGAATCTCGTTTACTAACATAAGTGCTGTGGGTGTACGGGTTGTAACACGAGACCATTGACGTGAGGGAGAGATCGGAGCGTGCACTGACTAAGATGGTCGAGGTGGACTTATATTTCCTTCCGCACAAAAAAAAAGCCTATCAACGACTCGCTTTTGCCAACTAGCACTAGTTTTTGCCTTGGAGCCTCCTAGCCTATGAGTACTACTTGGTAAGCAAGTTATGTGAGTGGTGAACAGTACAAATGGTTGGCGATCATCGCGTCAGTTCTGGTTTTGGGCACTCGGGTTCCGTTGTCGCAGGACGATTGCCTGGGGTCGCGAGAATTTTCTCAAAACAAGTAGGGTAACCCTGTTTTTGGCGATTTCAAGTTCAAGAATCTTGAACTTGAAAATTATGCTGTACTCGGGCTTTAAGGGGGGCGCTTGTAATTGAGTATCGGCCATAATCGCCGGCGCTTATATAATAAATAATACAGAAATACAAATTAAACGCACGAAGTTGTACATTTCAGTCTCGTAAGTTCAATCGAATCGAACTTCGAACTTTTACAACGTCCTGAATCAGAATCGCGCGAGGGCGTTTCCCTGGGGCCAGTTCTGTTGCCCAGCGGCAAATGGAGGGCGGACAACACAGCACAGCACCACTGGTGCGGCCGGGTGCTTCCGCGAAGCCAAGAACCCCCCACGTTGGTGCGATTCAGCTTCCTGCCACCCTCCGCGCAACTGGAGGAGCGACGTAAAAGTTCTGCTTTGCTGACCAAAACATTTCCTAGGTTCGTTGCTTTCACTATAGTCATTATAATTATAGCACCGAACTAGGTTGAGTGCACCGAATTCTAGGCTTTTCGGTTGCCACCGAATTGCCTTCTATCGAATTCGGGAAGGACTCGTTCGGGACGCTTCGCGACCCGCGGAACCTTCTAGTAACACCCGGGTTACTGCCTTTGTGTCGAGCCTATATATAGCCTCGCCTTGTACCCAGGTGATTCATTTGAATAGATTTATCTTACCTGAACCAGATCCTCACACCGGCACACTTTCCAAATTGCGAGAACATGACGATTACACTCTGAAGCAACCATGGTTCCAACTCCTTGATCGGCGCTTGGGTCCACACTCGCTTGATCTCTTTGCGAAAGCCACCAATGCGCAACTCTCTCTTTTTTTCTTTAAGGTGCCCCACCCGGCGCGCACGCAGTCAATGCTTTCTCCATTTCATGGACCAGGGAACACGGGTTCGCTTTCCCATCTCCTCAGTTGATTCCGACGCTGCTACACCACGCACAACAAACCCGCGCCAGGATCACGCTAATCCTCCCCGAATGGCCCAGTGTTGTTTAGTGGCCCCGAGTTCACCCAACATTGAACGAGTGGGCACCAGAAGTCAAGACCCACATCCAACTCACCAGCGGCAACCAGTGCCTTGGTGTAGGAACCCACACAACAGCATTCTCTAGCACTGGCCTTCCCAACAGCATCATGCATGCGCTCCTGTTTTCATTCGAGTAATTGTTGAGCATACTCTTGTTCTCATGGCACAGGCACCATGGTTAGGCTCTATCACCAACTTCTGCTGATCACATCCCAAGTCAGGGCGGATTCGACAATTCGCACGTACGACCCCTACTGGCTCAAGTTTCGCTCCTTCTGTGACCGATTCCAGCTATCATTCTTACCAACCACCGACACAACGCTTGCACTCTACTTCGTGCATGCAATCGAAAAAAAGGCAACAATATCCATGGTACAGCTCACCTGCTCGGCAGTCACTTTTGCATACCGCATGATCGTAGCTCGTTGTCCCGTCTAAGGCTCGTTCACCAGCCAAGTTCGCAAGTACGCCAAACGGCACTGCCCGCGCCCATCCCGGATCAAGGAGCCCGTGTCTCTTCACCAAGTCCACAGCATGGCACAACAAAACCTATCCGAGAAAGACCCGGCAGAATTCCAAAAGGGACTCATTCCCCTGCTCATGTATGCTGCATTCCTCAGATATTCGGATCTCGTGGCAATTCGCTGGGAAGACATACAATTCGAGGAGGATGTTATGTGGATCCTCATCCCGCATTCCAAAACGGACCAAGAGGGTCGTGGAATGTGGGTCCCAGTGGCGGCCATACCGGGCCCGTTCTGCCCTGTACGCTGCACCCAGCGCTTCATGCAACTCGCACAATATGGACCTCTCACTCACGGGCCGTTGATCCGTGTCTTTGGCCGTCGTACATCGGCATCATCTATATTGGGCTGAGAAAAATAGCCCTTAGGATCTTTGCAGCGGTGAACTCTGGGTATAACTGATGTAATAGCGGAAGCGTTTAATGAAGAGTTGTGAACCACCTTGCGCTAGTATGTGAGGGCAAAGTTGATTGATTAAGGCAAAGAGATACAAGATTATATAGGGTACAGGGAATATGAAGAGATACAGTTATAACTACTTTACTGTTGCTGTTGCGGTTCGATACAGTGACGACTCGGGCAACTGCTCTGTAACGAGTCAGTTGTGTGTCCTTGCTGTCGCGCTGTACTTGTCAGGTCAAAGGTCGCTGACCTTTGACTTTCGCGTAACCTCCAGCAACTGCTCAATCTCCGAGGGTTGACTCGCCAGTGCTTCGATATGCTTCGCTTCGCTTCTGACTTGGTGTTTCGACACGACAGAGGCGCGTAGAGTTAATTGTTTCCAACAATCTACACCCACCTCCCCTTCATACACGACCATTCGCGATTGGTGAGAAGCATTCGATAAGATTGGCTTCAGTGACACCCATTTGGGAACCCATCCATTCCGCAAAGGCGCAACCACCATGGCTGCAAGTGCAGGGGTCCCAGACCGCGTCTTCCAAAGGCTCGGTCACTGGCGCAGCAGTACGGCCAGGGACCTTTACGTGACGATAGCAACCAAAGACTTGGTGTCCGCCTTCCGGGCTGACACCGCACCGGCCCCTCCGCATCACGAGCAAGCCATCGTTCGCCAACGACAACCCTTGCTTCACATGCTTCAGAAGACCCACAAGCAATGAAGACGATGTTTATTGCTAATCAAGAAGCAAGCTTTCTCAATATGTACATTTTGGAAAATGTTACACTTTCTAAAACGACTTATTGTGAAAGCGCAGCAGCTTGTACGCAGCACTAAAGGCATCGTCGAAGCGCTATTCGCCCTTCTCCGACTACAAAAGAAAAGGTTTCGGCCATTTGGCCTCACCCACGTTTTCATTTTTTTACTCTCAAGTTCAGTTTCCCCACCACCCCCCGCATGTTTAGATATGATGTATGAAACTGTTTATATGACGGGCAATGCTGCGCTTGACCACAAGCATTAAAACCAGGGTGCACATTCAATTGGATTTCTGTCAAAGGTTAACCTTTGACCTCGGGGTTACTCAGTGATTTAGGAATATCTGGGGGGAGTGTTCGCTTCAGCAGGTGAACATTTGAACCCTCGAGATTTGGCAAATGTATACCGAAGTCATCGAATGTGCTTCCGCCAATTCGTTTCCCCCCTCCCCATACCTATTCCGCTCCCACCGAAATTGTTTCCCCTTCCCCCACAATATCGTCTCACCCCCTTTCCCCTTTCCGCCAACCCAGTTGCCCTCCCCTTGATCCCCAATTTCTAGATCCAAGTGTTATCAATTTCTCCCCTGCCAAGCCTCATCTCTCACGGACGAAAAGCCCCATGCTCGCCCATTCTCAACTATTTATTCGCTACTCGTCAACCAATCAGCAGTTCCCGCAAACATGCCGCCCAAAATTTAGCCTGGAGTCGCGTTGAATGTGTACCCTGGTTTTAAAGACGATGCTTATTGCTAGTCAAGAAGCAACCTTTCTCAATCCATAGAGCACCCTCAGGCGCGGGTGCTGGCTGCACAGCAGCTATTTGTGACACATTTGCTAGGAGGCCAGGCCCTTCACAGAATGGGTGCATGTTTAGTAGAGTATAAATACTTGGTATTTATCTTTGCCACACATGCTTCCTTACACTACCGTATCACCCCAGATATAAGCGCACCTGCACTTAGAATCAACCAGTGTTTTTTGGGGGGGGGGCAATTATAATTGAGTAAAAACTATACGCGCATGCGCTTATAAAATGACAAATACAGATTTAATCTCATCCCATTGTACATCTCATCCCTGCCATTTCAATCGAATCGAGATGGTAGAGTGTCACAGATCAGAATCGCGCGCGGGCGATTCTCTGCCGGCACACAGAGGCAAAGTACAGGCCTTGTTCTGTAGGTGGACAATTTCCAGCATCTGGTTTCGCACAGTGAGATTGATAACTGATCAATTGCTTATCTAGGTTTGGTGATAAGCGCGTGGATGCCAAACCTACTTGCGCCAAATTTGACGCTTCTGCCTGCAGAACACCACTTGTGACCCGCACAAATTTGACCGTGTGCTGGTTCGAAGCAATTGCTTCGCCTGGCAAACAGTCGCACAACTAGTGCGGGGCTGATTCAACCTCCAGGGCACGCATCAGCCAGCGCACAAGTTATGCGGGGCTTTGGATTGCGGAAATGCATTGGATATGCGGGGCTTCGTAGCAACATCGAGGGTGACAATTTTGATTGGATGCGACACGAATTTTCTAGGAAAGACTGTCCCGGACATTTTGTGCGGAGGCCAGTCCGCCTACAGAACAAGGCCACAGTGTAACACCAGGCCTGTCGATTCACGGGCATTTGCCCGTTTGTCCTGAGAATTCAGGGCTGGGTTTGACGCACCTCAGAGATTTTAAGGGTTAGTTTGCGAGGAAGCCCGTAAGGAAAACGGACTGGTTTTGCCCTTGGCCGGACCCTAACGGACTGGTTTTGGGCCTTGCCCGGATTTCCGTGTAGGTCCAGCTCAACTTCTTAAGGGTTGGGTTTAGAGTAAGCGACAGGCCTGTGTAACACCTCACTTTGAGGGCGTGCCAGCTCGTGCTGACTGGACGCGCATGATGTGAGGTCCTCGAAAGTCAACCTAAGCAAAAATGGTTGTGAACTTGCTGCAAATTTGAATTTTGTTACTGTTTATATCAGGATTTAAGAATAAAATTACACATGTGCTTATAATATATCAGGGTTTTATAATGGGTGCGCTTATAATTGAGCATCGGCCATAAGCGCATTGCTCCAGATATAAGCGCATGCGCTTTTTATAGGCCTGCGCTTATATCTGGGGTCATACGGTATGTACAATTGCATGCCTAAGAAGCATGACTAGTGGCAAGTGTGAGGTGAGGAGCCAGACTAAACGCCAGGATTTAAGGAAGAGTCAAGAGTTGACACCAGGATTTGACCGAAAAGCCGAGTTTACTGAAAACCCAGGAGTGAAAGTTGACGGCAAAGCCCGGAATTTACTGAAGGCAGGGGTTTACTCCTCTGAAGCATGAAAGGCCGGGCTTAGACGCAAGGGCTGCTTGGACGGAGGAAAGGGGGAGAGAGGCAAAAGAAGAAGGCAGGCTATTTAATACAACGTCTGAAGGTTTGACACCCAGGGATCAAGCGCAGGTCTGCATGGAGGAAGAATGAGGGAGTGTGGGGAGGGAGGACAATAGGAAAAAACCAGGGAACATGGGGAGGTCAAGAGGAGAAATCAGGGTGGGCGGGGAGGGAAGAGAGAGGCGAAAGCAGGGTGGTTGGGAAGTGAGGAAAATAGGAGAAAGCAGGGTGGTTGGGAAGGGAGGAAGAGAGGAGAAATCAGGGTGTTTGGGGAGGGAGGAAGAGCGGAGAAAGCAGGCTGGTTGGGGAGGGAGGAAGAGAGGAGAAAGCAGGGTTGTTGAGGAGGGAGGAAGAGAGGAGAAAGGGACGAGCATGATCATTGTAAGGCGAAGGAAGAAGGGAGCAGAGTATACAAGTGGAGTGTGGGCAACAAGCAAACAGCCACACTGCTACCTCTGCTGCTGCCTCTGCCCCTTCCTCGCTGTGGCCTCTCTTGTTAGCTTCGTTCTCCACTGTGTTGCTGACTGTGTTGTTGACTCAGTTGATTCCAATCACTCAAGATCTCTCACTTACCACTTTCTCCTTTCCCTCTCGTTCACACACACACATCCCTCAAGCACATAGACTCCCTCATTGGGCTGTGAATTTGTCCCGAACCCTCTCTCCATTCTTCTCTCAATGATCTCCCTCCCTTGCCCACCCTCACTCCCTCACCTAGCTGTGCAATTAGAATCATAAACCCAGCCAACCTGCTCCCACTGCTCCACAGCACTCCCCCCCAACTCCTCGCCCACTCTTCCCCATTTACCCAGACAGCCTTCTCCCTCACCTAGACGGGCAAACAGTCCCCTCCCGCCACACACTCGAGGTCATGAGCATCCCAGCCGGCTTAGTAGTCTTTTGGCAAAAGGACACTGTCGATGGTTGATTTGTGGCACGCGAGCTCGTCAGGAACAGTGTGCTGGCGTTTGCAGCGCAGCCCACGTTGGCCGAGAAAGCAACGGAGCAGAAGAGGAGAGTCGCCGGGCTGCTGCTCCCTGCATAGGCGTAGACTGCGCCGCCAGCGCCACACATATTTGACACGTTGAGGGCCCTGTTGTTGTAGAAGCTGACTCCTTGGAAGTAAAGGGAGGCTCCACTAGAGAAGATGGCACCCCCACCCGAAGCTGGATGGGTGGAGAGGAGGGTGGGTAGGGTGGGATGGGGACACAGGGGGGCAGTCGAGCGACAAGGACTGATGGCCGGACTGCAAAAGAGGGTGTGAGATGGGGACGGCGCAAGGCAACAACAACTGCGAGAATGGTTTTATTCAGGAAACGAGGGGTGTGAGGAAATGAGCAGTGGCGAGGCCAGAGGTAGGAGCAGGGGATGGAGGAATGACAGGGACTGCTGCTTGAGAAGAGACCATCCTTAGAAAAGGCCTTCCCTAGCAAAGGCATACCCCACAAAGCTTAATCCCTAGGAAAGACGTTTCCTAGAAAAGGCATTCCGTAGAAAAAGCATTCCCTAGAAAATGCATTTCTTGGAAAAAAAATATCCTTAGGAAAAGCTTTCTGTAGAAGATGCTTTCCTTTTATGTCTCTGGATGATGGAATAGAGAGGTGTGGAACAGCGGCGGATGAGACTAATTTGGGTTTTTTAGCTATGATGGAGAAAGTTAGCCCTGGGCTTTTGAGGCGGGTCAAAGGCCATCAAAAGGGAAATGTAGCACTGGATCCACAGAGCCAACCCCCACAGAACACACTCAACTCATAAGATTGACAGGACCACCCACAGAGCACAGAAAGCTCATAAGTGTGGGCTTGACTCCATACGGATTGACTTTTAAGAAGGCTCAAAGGTGACCATCGCACAGAAACATGCACACATTCAAACACACGCGTGCGCGCGCGCGCACACCCTCACTCACGGGGAGGGAGAGGTGGGGGGAGAGAGAGGGGTGAAGGAAGGCGGGGGGAGGGGAAGCGGTAACGCGGGCGGCAAGTCTTGTCTTCAAGTGCTCTGCGTCCTGCCGAGCCTTGCGAGGCACTGGCTGGCTGCTGGTCCTGTGGTGCAGGTCCTGACAAAGCTTGCCGGCCAGAAGTCCCGCCCGTACGTGATTCCATTTCCTCTGCGTTTTTCCTGACAGACCCTGGAGCCATTGTGTTCTGAGCTTTTTTTTCCTCTCACTCTGCCACCCTCCCTCCCACTGTCTCCGTTTCCCCTCCCCCTCCACCTCCCCCTCCCGCTCCCCCTCCCCCCCAGTCTCCTTGCATTAGTGGCTCTGCGGCTGCTGCAGCAAGCCTGGGCCATCACCGACCGCATCTTCCCCTCCCTGCAGCCGCTGCTGAACCTCTTAACCTGCTCTCCCTCTCCCTCCCCGTCCATTTCCTTCCCCTCCTCCAGTCTCCTTGCATCTGCGGCTCTGCGGCTGCTGCAGCAAGCCTGGTCCATCACAGATCGCATCTTCCCCTCCCTGCAGCCACTGCTGCTGCCGCCCTCCCTCTCCTTCCCCAAAAGCATAAGAATAACCAGCACCAGCAGCACAGCTAGCGGTGATGTGGGGGGAGGAGAGGTGATGGTGCTGGCAGCAGCAGCAAGCATACGGGGAGTGTGTTGCCACGATACGGACCGGGCAGTGCGGCTGGTGCTGTCAGTGCAGGCAGCTATCGAGTCTCCAAGCCCTCTCGTTGCTGCCTTTGGTTTGGACGCCCTTGCTGCTCTCTGTGCTGCTGATGCCGTGGGTGAGTCCTTGCCCCAGACATGTGAACCAGGTCTTGGAAGGTACAAGTGAGGGAGGAGGTTGTGTGCGCCTGGTGCTGTCAGTGCAGGCAGCTATCGAGTCGCCAAGCCCTCTCGTTGCTGCCTTTGGTCTTGACGCCCTTGCTGCTCTCTGTGCTGCTGATGCTGTGGGTGAGTCCTTGCTCCATAACAGAGGATAGATCTGGTGAGCATACTGGGAGTGTGTCGACACGACACGGACAGGGCAGTGAGGCTGGTGCTCTCAGTGCAGGCAGGCATTGAGTCACCCCATCCGCTTGTTGCTGCCTTGGGCCTTGACGCCCTTGCTGCTCTCTGTGCTGCCGACAACGTGGGTGAGTGTTTGCTTCATCCAAGGTGTGTCTCACCACGACACGGACAGGGCAGTGAGGCTGGTGCTCTCAGTGCAGGCAGGCATTGAGTCACCGCATTCGCTCGTTGCTGCCTTGGGCCTTGACACGCTTGCTGCTCTCTCTGTGCTGCCGACGCCATGGGTGAGTCCTTTCAGAACAGAAGCAGGTCTGGCAAAGTTGCATGTGGTGGAGGACTTTTGAGGCGCCTCAAAAGTCGTCTCATTACCCGCAAAGTTGGATGTGGGGGAGGGCTTTTGAGGCGCCTCAAAAGTCGTCTCATTACCCGCAAAGTTGCATGTGGGGGAGGGAGGTAGTGTGATGCTGCTGCTGATTCGCCCATCCGCTATTTTGTGGACAGGGAGGGGGAGGGAGGAAGTGTGCTGCCTTTGGCCCTGTGCTTCCCACATCGCCCCATCCCAACCCATCACTTCCTCTCCCTGCCCCTCCCGCTTCAACCCGTCTCAATCAACAACCACTTCAGATTTCTTTACGGCGTGGAAAGTGGTGTCCCGATCACACCCCTCCCTGCCCGCGCATCCAATCACGGCTGCCCGTTTGTGCCACCTGCTGCAATCCGCTGCTCTCGACGCCGCAGCCTATCCCAACGCGACACGTGGCATCATGGAGGGCCTGTGGGAAGCTGCCAGGAAAGGGAGGGAGGGGGAGCTGATAGAAGGAGGAGGGGGAGGAGGGGGAGAAGGGGAGAGGGAATGGAGGCAGACTCGTGCTGCTGCGTTCACTGCACTTGCTGCTTTCACGGTAACCCTCCCGCCCACGCATTCTTCCCAGCTCCTCGTAACAACCTCCGTATGTCTAGTCCCTCCAGAAGTCACGGTAACCCATGCACACTCCTCCCAACTCCTCGCAGAAGGCTCTGTTTCTCTGATGCTCTCCTTGCTCCTCCCCTCCCCTGCCCCTTGTCTCCCCAGCTGGATGACGTCACAGCCACATGGCCCTACCCCAGTACCCACCTCGTTCAAGCCTTCCTCTCAGAGCCCTGCCCCTCCATGCGCCAATCCATGCTCCCACTGCTCTCCCAACAGGTGGATGACGTGGCAACCACATGGCCCTGCCCTGCCATGCAACAACCCATGCTCTCCCAACAGGTGGATGACGTACCACATGGCCCTACCCCAGCACCCACCTCGTGTGAACCTTTCTCTCGGAGCCCTGCCCTGCTGCGCGCCAACCCATGCTCCCCCTGCTCTCCCAATAGGTGGATCCCACACAACTCCCTCCCTCTCTCCTCCCCACCTTCTCTCCCAACAGGTGGATGACGTAGCAACCACTTGGCCCTACCCCAGCACCCACCTCGTGCAAGCCTTTCTCTCGGAGCCCTCTCCTTTCGTGCGCCATCCCATGCCCCCCCTGCTCTCCCAACAGGTGGATGACGTGGCAACCTCATGGCCCAGCACCCACCTCGTTCAAGCCTTCCTCTCAGAGCCCTGCACCTCCGTGCGACAACCCATGCTCTCCTTGCACACCAACCTTGCCCACTCTCAACACAGGACCCGGCCCACACAACCCGGACCCGGGGTCAGTTGGCTGACCAGGCACCACCACCAAGGCTCTAGCCGCAGTTACTATCAGCTTTTTTCTGCTGATTCTCCTTGCTCCTCCCTCCCCTCCCCTTATCCTCCCTCCCAACAGGTGGATGACGTGGCAACCACATGGCCCTACCCCAGCACCCACCTGCTTCGAGCCTTCCTCTCAGAGCCCTCTCCTTCCGTGCGGCAAGCCATGCTCCCCCTGCTTACCAAACTGGCAGACTATCAACACAGGACCCGACCCCGGGGTCGGAGGGCTGTGGTGGTGGGCGGAGGAGAGGGGGCGGAGGGTGACGTGGCGTCTGCTGCCACGTCAGCCGGTGCGCCTGGTGGCGCCACGTGGCGGTCGAACAAGCTCCTGGCGGCGCTGCCCCGGCTGCTGTGTCCGGAGAGCTTCGGCGGCCGCAAGGGAAAAGATGGACTTGGTAAGGTTGATTGCTGAAGCATCAACGTATTCTGTATAGTATACAGCTTGAAGGTTGCCCTTTGTCACGCGTTGCCCCCTTCGCCTTCTGCCCATAATCGCGTGTGAACAAATAAAAACCACCTAGCCCTTCCCTCCTTTTCCATCTCCCCCAGATGTACCTCTTGCCTCCTTGCTTGTATTTTCTAGGCAGCCTCAAGTCTGCATTCTCTCTCTCACCCTCTCTCCCGTTTTTCTGATCAACCTCCCCCAGATGTACCTGCTGCCGCCTTGCTGCTGGTGCCGCCACCACCGCCAGAGCCGCTGTCAGGCGCATCTGCTGGGAGTGTCAGGCAGGCGCGGGTAGACCTGGAGAAGGTGGGAACTGGGGTAGGCGTGTTCTGTCGCCTGGGGGGGGGGGGGGGGGGGGGGGGGGGGTCTGTTTTGAAGCCGCATCTGCTGGCAGTGTCAGGCAGGCTCGGGTAGACCTGGAGAAGGTGGGGACTGGGGTAGGCGTGTGCCGTCGCTGGTGTGCAATCTCTTTGTGAGAGTTTGGTGCAGAGAATTTGAACCAATCACAGGGCATTTGTGGGGAATTTCCGTTTTAAAATCTTGGTTGGGATTCTCTGTAGGTCGTGCTTCGCTGCTGAGCATTTGTAAGTGTGTGCACTGAACACAAAAACTAAATGAGTTTTCCCTCTCTCCCCCGCCCTCCTCCCTCCCCCTCTTCATTCATCCCTCCTCCCTCCCCCTCTTCATTCATCCCTCCTCCCTCCCCCTCTTCATTCATCCCTCCTCCCCAGGCTCTCAAGGAAAGAGACGCACACTTCCACCGCATCTTCCTGGAAACTTCTCAGTCTCTCAGCCGCCCGGCCTTCTTCCCGCTGGTGCTCTCCTCGCTCGCCGCCTGGACCCACTTCATGCGCCAATGGTATCGCGCCAGGTGTCGCCTTCTGCACGCCACAGCCGCCGCCGCCCCTGCTGGTGGTGCTGCTACAGCTGCTGCAGCAGTGGGAGGCACAGAGACAGGGATAGGGGGAGCAGCAGGGGGAGGGGGATTAGTGGGAGCTGTTCCTCCAGGCGACGTGCCGGCAGCAGCAGCAAGGGGGCTATGGTCAACAGTAACCCAAGGGTTCGACAGCGGTGTTCCAATGCAGGCAGAGAACAGTGCTCTCGCCCTCGCCGCTCTCTGCCAAGCCTTGCCGCCCGCCCTCCACCCCCTTGTAGCCTCTGCTGCTGATCTGCTCCGAGGGAGGCTCAAAGATGGGGGGACGAGCGCGGGATGGGGGGTGGAAGAGACGGGGGAAGGGGAAGAGGAGAGAAGGGGAGGGGGAGGGGGAGGGGGAGGGGGAGTGGGGAGGAGAGGGGGAGTGGGTGGGGAAGGGAGGGGGGTGGGTGGTGCAGGGTGGGTGGCGGTGAGTGGGTGGGCGGATGCTCTAGCACTGGGGGCTGTGGGAGGGTGTCTTCATGCCACAGATGCCCACATGCGACTGAGAATAGCCATTCTTCACACCAGGGTAAGCCAAATCATTCAAATGGATGTCTGGGTGACATGTGCGGTGAGTGGGTGGGCGGATGCTGTAGCGCTAGCGGCTGTGGGAGGGTGCCTTCATGCTATGGATGCCCACATGCGCCTCAGGATTGCCATTCTGCTCACCAGGGTAAGCCAGTTCACATGTGAGGCTATGCGTGACTGATGGATGCTCTAGCACTCGGTGAGTAGAATGGCTATTCTCAGAATACCCTGGTGAGCAGGTGAAGGTCTTACCTTGGTGTGCAGAATGGTTATTCTCTGACACCCTTCTTACCACTTTCTTTCGTTCCCTTGCCACTTGCTCCCACCTTCCTGTTACTTCCTCACACCCTTCTGCCATTTTCTCTGTCATTTCTCCTGCCACTGCCACCTGCACTGGTGCCCGCGCTCCAGCCACTACCGCTCCCCTTGCTGCCACTACATCCCACGCTCCAGCCACTGCCGCTCGCTCTGCTGCCACTGCACTCCACGCTCCAGCCATTGCCACTCGCCCTGCTGCCACCGCACCCCACGCTCCAGCCACTACCGCTTGCCCTGCTGCCACTGCATCCCACGCTCCAGTCACTGCCGCTCGCCCTGCTGCCACTGCACCCCATGCTCCAGGCTCTGCCGCTCGCCCTGCTACCACTGCACCCCACGCTCCAGCCACTGCCGCTCGCCCTGCTGCCACTGCAGGGCGAGTGGCAATGGCTGGAGCGTGGAGTGCAGTGGCAGCAGAGCGAGCGGCAGTGGCTGGAGCGTGGGATGTAGTGGCAGCAAGGCGAGCGGTAGTGGCTGGAGCGCGGGCACCAGTGCAGGTGGCAGTGGCAGGAGGAATGACAGAGAAAATGGCAGGAGGGTGTGAGGAAGTAACAGGAAGGTGGGAGCAAGTGGCTAGGGGACGAGAAAAAGTGGTAAGAGGGGTGCCAGAGGGATCACCAGAATACCTGACTGAGTCGAGCTGTGAGTCGACTCAGAAGTGCGACTAGTGATAAGGCCTTTACGTGACTGACTACTAAGGCGCTTGATTGATCCACCTCAATCTTTTTTTTCCCCCCACCTTACTCCGCCCTTTCTGTTCCACACCAAAACTTTTTTTTTTCCTCCAATCTTCCTCTCTCTCTTCCATCCTCCTGCCCCAGATTCTCAACCAATCAGGAGCCGACAGCTCGCTCCACTTCGCAGCTGCTGTTTCCCTCGGGACCATCGCAGCGCGCCAGGTGGCGCTCTCCCATTCGTCAACCACAGAAGGCACCAGCACCAGCGGCAGCACCAGTGGCAAGAGTGCTGACTCAGCATCTGCTGCAGCAGCGACAGCTGTGCGAACGCTCTGCGCTGTGATTGGTCGGTCCTCCTGCCATGCCCTAAGGGAGCTGGCGCAGGTTCTGAGGAAGCTTCCTGGGGAGATGGGGCGGGCGGTTACTGTAGCACTGGGGGAGGCAGAGGGGGGAAGGGGGGAGGGGGAGGGGAGCTTGGGGGGATAGGGGAAATGGGGGGTATGGAATCGGAGAGGGGTGAGTGGGATGTAGGTGTGGGGGAAGATGAGGGAGAGGAGTGGGGTTTGGGGGGAGCTTTGTTAGGCATTGCTATTCTCACCTCCTCCCTCACCTCCTCTTCCTCCTCCTCTTCCTCTTCCTCCTCCTCTTCCTCTTCTTCCTCCACTTCCTCCTCACACCTCTCCCTCCTTCACTCCTTCGCCTCACTTCTCTTCCAGTGGACTCAAGCCTTTGCTCACTCGCTCACATTGAACCAGAATGTACCTTCCCCAGGCAAACCTTCCTCAGTTGTACCTCCCCCACTAGTGGACGGCTGGGGTGACCCCATCGCCCCACCCACCCCGCCATCCCCCTTGGACTCTCCCTCGGCCAGCCACGTGCCGCCACCTGTCCTCGCAGCAGCAGCTGCACTGGCACTGCCCTTGATCGCAGAGTGTGGGGTGAGAGGGGGGAGAGAGGCCGGGGGAGGGGGAGGTGGAGGGGGAGGGAGAGGAGGAGCGGGAATGCGAAAGAGAGAGGGAATGGGGGGTATACCAGTGGAGGAGGGAGATGAGGAAGGGTCCTTCTCGGGACCGTTCAAGTGGGAACAAGATGAACGGATCGAGGAGAAACAGATGGCAGATTGGACCGACGGACTGAGGCAAACATTTCAAGAGGTAATGCACTTGAAACGACAGCCTCTTCTCCTCCCCTTACCTCCGGATCAAGCCCAAGCAGATTCCCTCTCTCTGCTATCCCTGCCGCAGCTGCCGCTGCCAGAGCTACCAGCAGGGTCGGTGATGGATGAAGAGGCGTTGCTGCTGATGCACGCGCAGCACCAGCAGCAATACCAGCAGTTCCAGCAGCATCTAGGTCAGCAGCAGCAGAATTTTGCAGCTGCAGCTCCCACAAACCGAGACTCTTATGATGCTTATGCCGAAGCAGATGCTTATACTGGAGCAGCCAACACCACACCAGCAACAGCAGGAGGAGACGCAGGGGTAGCATCTAGAGGCCCTCCCCCGGTGTTCCTCTCTGCAGTGTCGCTCTCTCTAGCTGCCATGGTGCATTCCTCGCTGTGCTCTGACGTTGCCTTGCCTCTTGGAGCTATCACTGACGTCCTCTCTCCCCTGCTCGCTGCTATCAAAGGGGAGAAGGGAACCGGCTCTGCTGCTTCTCCTGCCACTGCTTCTGCTGGTTTTAAAGCTGCTTCTGCTGTTGAACCTGCTGCTTCTGCCGCTGCTGGTTTTGTTACTGATTCTGCACCATCAGCGGGACTGCTACCCAGCAGTGTGAGGGGAGCAGCAGGCATGGCAGTGGCAGCACTGCTAGGGGCGCCTTTGCTTCTCACCCCCCTCCCAGGCCACCGTACACAGCAGCACCCTCCTTCAGCCTCTGCTATCTCTGCTTCCGCTCCTGCTCCTGTTGCTCCTGCCGCTGCCGCTGGTGCTGGTGCTACAACTAATCCTGCTGCTGCCGGCGCTGCTACCACTGTCACAACCAGTGGCGCCAGGTCAGCAGCAGCCAATCAGATCCTGGTGATTGGCCCACTGCTCTTCTCCCCGAGCGACGCGGTCCAATCGTCCGTCAGGGACGCGCTGCAGTCATTGGTCGAGGCGTACCGGCGCGACTGCCATGTCAGCGTCAAGCGCCAGGCTGGCTGGGCGCTGGCGCTCTGCGTGGAAGCTTCTCGGAAACTCTCGGGCGAAGGGGATGAGGAGGAGGAAGATGAGGATGATGAGGAGGGCGGGGGGTGGGGAGGAGGAGTCGGAGGAGGAGTCGGAGGAGGAGGAGGAGGAGGAGGAGGAGGAGGAGGAGGAGGAGGAGGAGGAGGAGGAGGAGGAGGAGGAGGAGGAGGAGGAAGAGGGGTAGGGGGAAGTGGAGGTGGGAGTGGAGGGAGGAGGGGAGGAGGGGGGGAGGAGAAGCAGTGGTTGCTGAATCAATTCCCGGCTGATAGTGTGGTGCGGCTGCTGGCATCTTGGTTGTTGGAGCGGAGTCTACACGTGGGGGCAGGAGCGGGCAGCCTGTGGGTGAGTTTTGGGGGGGTGCTATTGGGGAATGAGTGTTGAGGGGGTGCTATGGGGGAATGAGTGTTGAGGGGGTGCTATGGGGGAATGAGTGTTGAGGGGGTGCTATGGGGGAATGAGTGTTGAGGGGGTGCTATGGGGGAATGAGTGTTGAGGGGGTGCTATGGGGGAATGAGTATTGGGGAATTGATTGCTGGGTCAGTTCCCTGCTGTCAGTGTAGTGCACCTGCTGGGCTCTTGGCTGCTGGAGAGAAGTCTACACGTGAGTGTTTTTGGGCCGGGCTATGGGCGAATGAATGTTGCCATGCCACGTGTGCTGTTCACAGTGGGATGCACCTGCTGGGGTCTTGGCTGCTGAAGAGAAGTCTACACGTGAGTGTTTTTGGGGCGGGCTATGGGCGAATGAATGTTGCCATGCCACGTGTGCTGTTCACAGTGGGATGCACCTGCTGGGGTCTTGGCTGCTGAAGAGAAGTCTACACGTGAGTGTTTTTGGGGCGGGCTATGGGCGAATGAATGTTGCCATGCCACGTGTGCTGTTCACAGTGGGATGCACCTGCTGGGGTCTTGGCTGCTGAAGAGAAGTCTACACGTGAGTGTTTTTGGGGCGGGCTATGGGCGAATGAATGTTGCCATGCCACGTGTGCTGTTCACAGTGGGATGCACCTGCTGGGGCTGCGGGCTGCTGAAGAGAAGTCTACAAGTGGACGAGCTTTTTGAAGCGCCTCAAAAATTGTCTTGGCTGCTGGAGGGAAGTCTGCACGTGGGGGCAGGAGCGGGCAGCCTGTGGGAAGTCTACACGTGAGTGTTCTTGGGCGGGCTATGGGCGAATGAATGTTGTCATGTCACGTGTGCTGCTGACAGTGTGGATTTTTTAGTCGACTCATCACACGCTATGGGCGAATGAGTGTTGTCATGTCACGTGTGCTGCAGCCTGCTGACAGTGTGGTGCGGCTGCTGGCCTCTTGGCTGTTGGAGGGAAGTCTGCACGTGGGGGCAGGAGTGGGTAGCCTGTGGGTGAGGGCTCTGAGGGTAGGCGGGTGTGGTTAGTGGAACACAGACAGTGTATGGATGAGTGATGGGGGGCTGCGAGGAAGTGAGTGAGTGAGTGCGTGTGGGGAATAGAGGGAGAGTGTGGGAGGTCGAAGTCCTTGCACACATCAGAATCATACTGCACTCCTCTAATCCCCTCCCCCCCTCGCGTCCTCATGGGCCCTCCTCGCCCACGCCTTTCGAATCCCCTCTTTAGACTGGCCCTCCATCCCCCACTGTGTTTTGAGTCGACTCAAAACACATTTAGACTGGCCCTCCATCCCCCTGTGTTTTGAGGCTCCTGGACCAAGAATCAACTCTTTAGACTGGCCCTCCATCCCCCACTGCTTCCTCCGCCGGGCCGGTTTTTGAGGTGCCTAGAAAATTGTTCACTTGAGAATTCCCAATATAATTCTTCCCGCCCTTGCACCCCCCCTCGCCCGTCCCCTCCCATCCTCTCCTCCCATTCTCCCTCCTTTTTACCCAATAACCAGGATACTGCCAGCGTGCCAGCTGTCGCATCCTCATTGGCCCTCCTCTCCAACGCCCCGCGAATCCCCTCTTTAGACTGGGCCTCCATCCTCCACCGCTTCCTCCGCAGAGCCTCCTCCGGGACTATTCCCGCCTCCCATGCTGCCCTGCTGCTCCTCCCTCCCTCCGCTGCTGCTTCAGCAGCGGCAGCAGGGCCACTGGGAGGAGGGTCTGTAGAGGCATCAGTAGCAGGAGGGATTTCAGCAGCAGCAGGAGCAACGGCAGATGCAGACAATCTACGCTGTGCGTGCCTCCACTTCGCCGCCCACCGCGGGATCATCCCCTTCCTCGATGACCTCACCGCTGACGTCAGCAGGCTCGTCCAGCTGGCGCCGGCGGTGCAGCGAGCGCTGCTGTCGCGACACCTGGCGGCCGTGGTGCGGCTGTTCTCCCAGGAAAGATCCCGGAAGCTTCTGAGGGATGTGATGGGGCTGGTGAGAACGTACATGGCTGCTGCTTCTGGTGCCACTGCTGCCTCCGCCGCTGCTGCTAGCACTGCTCGTACCGCCGCTGCTGGTGCTGCTGCAGCTGGTGGTGGTGGTGGTGGTGCTGCTGCTGCTGCTGCTGCTGCTGCTGCTGCTGCTGCTGCTGCTGCTGCTGATGATGATGATGGATCAGGCGTAGGATCAGAGGAAGGTAAAGAAGAGGCCACTTCAGAGTGGTTCCGGAAAAAGCCCACGCCAGCAGCAGCCGCACCTGCTTTAGCATCACCAGCAGCCAGCGCAAAAGCAAAAGAAGCGGCGGCAGCAGTGGGTGCAGGGGAGGCTGCAGCAGCAGCTGCTGCTGTGAGGGTCTGGGCTTGGATGGGACTACGGGACATTCTATCCATTTCTTGCTCTCGAGATAGACCAGAGAAGGCAGCGGAAGAAACACAGGCCTCAGCGGGACATTCTAGGGCTGATGCGTCTGTTTCATGGAGGCGTGATGCTGCTGGTGCTGCTGCTGGTGCTGGTGCTGGTGCAAGTGCCGCTGCTGATGCTGATGCATCTGTATCATGGAGGCGAGATGCTGATGGTGCTGCTGCTGGTGCTGCTGCTGGTGCTGCTGCTGATGCTGCTGGTAGTGGTGGTGGTGGCAGAAGTGGTGGTGGTGGGGATGCATATTCCAGTAACAGCATTGGGGTGCAGTTTGGGGGTGGGATGGTGGAGGCAATGGCATGGGCGTGTGTGGGTGAGCTCTTGAGATCCCTCCCCCTGCCACGCCCCGTATGGTTACCCCCAAGTCAAAGCCATAGTCAAAGTCAAAGTCAAAATCAAACTCAAGTTTCTGACTTGAGGGAGGATTCGAGGGCTGCAGTGCGGGCGAGCGGCCAATGGGAGGGCGACAGCTGGCCGCTGGACGAGAGTCCCGAGTGGCGGGCGGCGGTGGACTGTCTTGGAGTGATGCGGAGAGAAGACGTGCTGGGGATGCTCAAGATTCCCACACCATCAGCAGGCGAAGCAGCAGCATCAGCATCAGCAGCAGCAGCAGCATCACCTGCACCTTTCACCTCCCCCAGTAGCCACCTCCCCCGCCTCGCCTTCTCCCCAGCAGCAGTCCGTGCAGTCGCCATGCGCCTGCACCTCCTGCGAATCAACCCGCGCCACCTGTCCCTTGCTGACGTGGCGCCGTGCCGCGTGTTTCTCTGCGAGCACCCACTGCCAGGTCAGCTTGGCGTGAGAACATCATGAGCTGCCACATCATGAACCTCCCTCGTTTGAATAATGTGGTGTGAAGATCTGCAACAGGCATGCAGCACAGCAAAGGCATGCAGCACAGCAAAGGCATGCAGCACAGCAACAGGCATGCACCACAGAAAAGGCATGCAGATCAGCAACAGGCATGCAGCACAGCAAAGGCATGCAGCAAATATTTACCTTATCCTGTAAACACATCTCCCTGAGTTTCCGCCTCTCCATCTGTCCACTCTCTTTCCCCTTCTCCCCACTCTGACCCCTCGCAGCAGCCTACACGTGGCTACTGGTGGAGCTAGCCAGTGCAGTGGCAGCAGCAGCACCCACTCCCTACGTATGTGTGTTTCTTCACCCCCCTTCTTCCCCCCCGTTTTTGCTTTTCCCCCTTTCACCAGCAACCTACACGTGGCTACTGGTGGAGCTAGCCAGTGCAGTGGCAGCAGCACTCCTCTCCTCATCTATGGGCTTATCTGACCGCTCCACTTGCTTTCTCCCCCTTCCTCACAGCAACCTACACGTGGCTACTGGTGGAGCTAGCCAGTGCCGTGGCAGCAGCACCGGAGGAGCATCGCCTGCCGTTCCTCCTCGACACGCTCGACTCCATCCAAGTCGCTCGCCACCCGTGGACGGTACGTCGTTCATCACACTCAGGAGCACAGAGTTCACATGAGCAGTACAGGAGGAGCATCGCTTGCCATTCCTCCTCGACACGCTCGATTCCATCCAAGTCGCTCACCACCCGTGGACGGTACGTCGTTCATCACACTCAGGAGCACAGAGTTCCCATGAGCAGCACCGGAGGAGCATCGCTTGCCATTCCTCCTCGACACGCTCGACTCCATCCAAGTCGCTCGCCACCCGTGGACGGTACGTCGTTCATCACACTCAGGAGCACAGAGTTCACATGAGCAGCACAGGAGGAGCATCGCTTGCCATTCCTCCTCGACACACTCGATTCCATCCAAGTCGCTCGCCACCCGTGGACGGTATGATACTTGTGCAGAAAAAGGTACGCTTCTTCAATTCATAAAACAATGTGCTGTGCTCCTCTGGATGGTGCGTGTTTACCTTTTTGGCACCTCAAAGCTAGACACTCACAGCGAGTGGAGTGGCAGCAGCACCAGAGGAGCACTCTTTCTATCCACTCTTTCCCCTCCTTTCTATCCCCTCATGCCCCGCTCTTCCTTCCCAAGCAGGCCCTGCAGCTCTTCTCCCTCATGCTCGCACGTCTCTCCCCCGACCGCCTCCTCCTCCCCACCAGCCCCACAGCTGCAGTCTTCCTCCTGCCGCACACCCTCCCTCCTCTCCTCTCCCAGCGCGGCTTAGCAGGCTCTGTGGGAGCCATAGTCTCGCGCTTCCAGTCGCTGCTGTCGTGGTTGTCAGATGAAAAGGAGTGCCTCTTCTGGGAGAATGGCGCTGATTCGAGACTTGGCGGGGACAGTGGTGGTGGTGCCGGCAGCAGCAGTGGTGCCGGCAGCAGCAGAGGTGGCAGCAGCAGCAGTGGTGGCAGCAGCAGCAGTGGCAATAGCAGCGGCGGCAGCAGCAGCAATGAGCGGGTGCATGTGTTGAGGGGAGTGGTGGTGGATGTGCTGAGGGCTCTACGCCACCATCTGCCCTCGCATGCTGTCTCCACCATCTGTCTCGCCAATGTCTTGGTGCACTAGCATAAAGGCTCCATCCATAGGAGGGAGCCAGGGCCTCACGCTCATAGTCACTGCTGCCAGAGGTGGTAGCAGCGCTAGCAACAGCAGCAGCAGCATCAGCACCAACAGCAATGAGCGGGTGCGGGTGCTGAGGGGAGTGGTGGTGGATGTGTTGAGGGGAGTGGTGGTGGATGTGCTGAGGGCTCTACGCCACCATCTGCCCTCGCATGCCATCTCCAGTATCTGTCTCGCCAATGTCTCTTTGCATTGAAATAGGGGCACCATATTAGCAATAGTCTGCCCTCCCAGCTCCGCCTAGCAGGCTCTGTGGGGGCCATGCTCTCGCGCTTTCAGTCGCTGCTGTCGTGGCTGTCAGATGAAAAGGAGTGCCTCTTCTGGGAGGATGGGGCTGATCCGAGAAGAGGCGGTGCCACCATGCTCTCGCGCTTCCAGTCGCTGCTGTCGTGGCTGTCAGATGAAAAGGAGTGCCTCTTTTGGGAGGATGGGGCTGATTTGAGACTTGGCGGGAACAGTGGTGGTGCTGCCGGCAGCAGCAGAGGTGGCAACAGCGGCGGCGGTTATAGCGGCGGTGGTAGCAGCAAGAGCAGCGGCGGCAGCAGCAGCAGCAGTGGCACCTGTGGAAGCAATCAGAGGGTGCGGGTGCTGAGGGAAGTTGTGGTGGATATGTTGAGCTCTGCACCACCATCTGCCCTCACATGCCGTATCCACCCTTTTGTCTCGCCAACGTCTTGTCTCAAAGAACGTTGAGGCTCCTGAGGAGGAGTCCTTGTCTCGCGTGTTTTGTCCTAGCTAGCATCTGCATCGGTGGCAATCAGTGTGTGCGGGTGCTGAGGGGAGTGTGGTGGCGGATGTGTTAAGGGTTCTGCTCACCATCTGCCCTCACCTCTCATGCCATGTCCAGCATTTGCCTGACCAGCATGTTGATGCAAAGGACTAGAGGCTTTTTAGGAAGACACATACTCTCGCTTTTCCAGGCATTGCTGTAGCTGCAATGGCAGCAGACCAGGCCCCTAGATTCGTTTTGAGGTAGTCTGAGGCCTCAGAGTACACCGCTCTTCCTAGTCTGGCTGTCAGAGTGACCTGATTTTTTAAGTCTGAGATTTCAGACTACACTTGCATTTCTACGCTGAACATACAGAGTCACAGTCAATTTTCCTGTTATAATGAAAACACTAAGTAACCTTCTTACATTTCTTCTTGATAGTCTAATACAGGTTCACGTTCTACTACTGCCTCGTCTACAGGCTCCTTCCCAGCCCACGAGGGCTCCTCTCTGTGCCTAGCAGCAGGTGCTGTGACCGGCCGGCGCTTCTTGTAGCTGCGCCATATCTCTACTACTCCTGGGACATCTAGCTCATAGTCTAGGAGTGAAATACAGAGCAGATCACTCAGCCTACAATCCTTAATGCTGCCCCTCTGCCACGTTTTGATGAGATTCTGTCGGGAGAAACCGCGCTCGCACTCGACCGTGCTGAGAGGCAGCACCGCAATCGCCACCCACAGTCCGACCAGGTTGGGGTACGCCTGCTGCCAGTTGGGTGTCCTGAGCATCGCACAAAGTCCCGTGTGGAACTTGCGCTCGCTCTTGGGGGCTCTGGCAAGGACCGGACACAGTGTGCGCAGCTCCCTCACGGCTTTCTTCTTGTCAATGCCTGCAAGGCAAAACGAGACACGGGTTTAGTAAACGAGCCATAGCCAAAGGGGGAAAGGGGCGGGGTGACACAAAACCATACCAGGTAGTATCTCGTCGGCTTCATCTGCGCGAAACAACGTGACAAGCGACATCAGCCACTCCAGGCACTGTGCCTGCCGTGCGTCCCGGTCCCAGTGAGGTTGCCACATCTCTGGAATAAACAGCCGCACTCCGGAAAGTGAGTCAAGGTCGCCGAGCTTGGACTGGAGCTGCTCGACAACGAGCTCGGCCATGTCGGTGCAGAGCGCAACGCAGGCGTGGTGATGACCAGGCCCACGATAGCTTGGGTTGGTGCGTTCGTGAAGCTTCACCTTGAAGCGGTTCATACTGCCGTCGGACGATGCTCCTTCCACCACCATTTCTGGTGTCCCTCCCGGACCGTGCTTCTCAATGAAGCGGTAGAGCCTCTCGGTCGCCCCCCCCCCGAAGTCGTCTCCACAGTCGACGTACCGAGCCTCCAGGATCGATGTGGTGCGCACAATCTGCGTGTGCACCAGCGCGTAGTCGAGCTGCATCACAAACATACAAAGAGAATTAGTACAATGGGTCTCGGACTTAAACCAATACAATCTACACCCTCAAATTCACTTACTTCTCGCTTCTGAAAAACTGAGGAGAGGACGTTGAGCTGCTCCAGCATGTCCGCGAGGAACCTGATGAGGAACTGGAACCTGTACGACGTGACGAGTTCGTACATGGTCTGGTCCTTCCACTCCGACAACATGACCATGATGGCAGGTAGGACTTGGACGAAGCGGGCAACTGCAGCTCCTCTGGACAGCCACCGCACGTCGTGTATGCCTTGAACCTCGAGGATGGTGGACGTGAACACCTCCTGGAGCTCCATGAAGCGCTGATGCCACGGCCCCGATCGCCCGAGGTACTCTGCGACGGCGCGGATCACGTCGTCGACCATGTTGAAGGTGGGTATCTTCTCCGCTGCGGCCTTGGCAGCCAAGGCCTCCCTGCCAAACAAAACCACACATGCACAGTTAGTTTTTCATAAACAAACAGATTTGCCGTTTACACATGGCGTTAAAACACAAACGCACCTGTGAGCGATGCAGTGAAACGAGACCAGGTTGGGGATGAGCAGTCGCAGACGAGCAACCACACCGTTTTGACTCCCCACCATCACAGAGGCGCCATCCGTGCTCACTCCCGAGATACGCCGGAGGTCAACGCCGACTGCCCTGAGGTGGGAAAGCAACAAACTGCACAAAGATGCAGCGTCAGCCCTATCAACCGTTAAATGCGCGACGAACTCAGTGACAACTCGGCCTTCGCGGAGAAACGTGGCAAACACAATCATGTGCTTGCCGCGCCGACGGTCAGTGCTCTCATCGAGCGTTATCCCGATGAAAGGGCTCGAGAGGAGGTGCTCCAGTTGCGTTGTCTGAAGCCATGCCGCAATGGCTTGAGTGAGCTCTCCAAAGCCGTACCTACAGAAGGAAGACAAGGTCGTTAGTGACGGTCAGCAAGGGTACAACGTTGTACACACGGGACACACATAAGAATTTACGTACGTGTTATAGTATGTGCCGTATCCCTGCTCGGGAAACCCGGGCACTTTCTTCTTCGCCAGGTAGCGCACGAGCCGAATCCACGAGTCCATGGGCTCGTTGCACTTCCCCATGAAGTACAGCGAGTCGACGAGCGGCGACACCTGCAGCAGCTCCATGTCTTGCGCTTTCGGGTGCATGTCGATGCGCTGCTGCCGCCCGTACTTCTGCAGCAAGTCCTCCTGGCGCTGCAGAGCAAATCGGTGCTTCACCGTCCCTTCGTGCTTCTTGAAGGACTGTGTCTGCATGTCTGTAGCTCCCTCGGTACGCCGCCCACACTTGCCATTCAATCCCGCAAACTCCAGGCAAATACTGCACTTGAAAGAAGGGGCACCAGAAGAGGTCTTAGTTAGAACAAGCCAACTGTAATCGGTGGACCACTTCGATTTGAATCTCTCATGCGCTTCCTCGTATTTCAACTCAGGATTATCGGATTTGGGCTTTGAGCTGTCCTGCGTGGGCCTCGGGCTGCCCTGCGTGGGCATGGAGCTGTCCTGCATGGGAGAATCGTCGCTCGCAGGAGTCACAACGGTCGATGGAGGAGGCGGAGTGGCCCAACCAAGGGTGGACTGCCGGTACCGCAGCTTCGACGGTGGCGCGGGACGAGAAGGTGCACCAACAGACGCCTCATGGGGCACCGCCTGTTGCGCAGCGGTCGCTGGTTCAGTGACGGCCTCGTGCAGAGGTGTGGTGTCTCTGGGAATAGGTGGGCGGCTCGAGCTAGGTTGCGACGGTGGCGTTGGAGGTGGATTGTGCTTCGGCAGGACAGAACTAAGAAAATCTAGACCGGTGAGAGGGTCGGATACTGGGCCGGATACTGGGCGACCGACTGCAACATCCTCGTCGTCGGGCCCATCCGCGACAGCCTCTGTAGCTGCCATTGAGCCTGCCGAGCAGAGGTGTAGCGAGCTAGGAGGTGGGAGCCTGAAACAAGGGCTCCTACACTAGTTTGAGTCCAGGCAAATGGAGCGGGCCATGAGAGAGACTGCAAGAACGGTGACCAAGAAGAAGATGAGAAACCCTCGTGTAATAGGACCTCCCATCTCCCAGAAGGTCATTGCATGCACTGCACCTGGGCGTGAATCCTTGGAAGGTGGGGTGATTGGGGTTGATGGATGGAGTCACGTGAGAGAAGCAGCGAGGTGCGAGCCCTGCGTTGGCAACTGGGAAGGTGGGGTGGGGTGGATGGACGTGGTGACGTGAGAGTGGCAGCGCGCTGCGAGCTATGCGCTGGCAACATTGAAGGCGGGGTGTGGTGGATGGTCGTGGTGTACAGCGAAGGTGCAGTGCGTGGCGAGCTATGTGTTGGCAAGGAATCTTGCCAACACTGCCTGCGGCGCAGCCGCGATTGGTCAGAATTGGGTGGGATTACAGCAACGCTGTACCAACGCAACTGTGCGTTGTCGCGCTGGCGAAATCGTGGGTTCCCGCCCGTGATTGACGGGGTTACTGCTCC